CCTCTTCATAAAGGTGGAGAAAAATCTGATGCCTGCAACTATAGACCTATTGCCTTGTTACCAGCACTATCAAAAATTATTGAAAGACTTATAAAAGTTCGACTTATGCCCTTTCTCCTTAAATATAATATTTTATCGCAAAATCAGTTCGGCTTTTTGTCTAATAAATGCACTAGTGATGCCATATTTTCTGTGTTACATGATGTATATCTATCACTAAACAGTAACCTCTCCTCCGCCACCGTTTTCTGCGACTATTCCAAAGCCTTTGACTGCGTAAATCACGACATTCTATTAAAAAAATTAACTTTCTATGGAATTCGGGGTGTGTCTTTGAACTGGTTCAAAACTTACTTGGTAGGTAGGAAACAATTGGTTAGAATAAATGACACCGACTCTAGTTGTAAAGATATTGAGTGTGGAGTACCGCAAGGTTCAGTATTAGGTCCCATTCTTTTTTTACTTTTCATTAATGACATCACTTACTTGAAAATTAACGGGAAAATTTTTCTATTTGCTGATGATACCAGTATTACTTGGAGCAGCTCTGATATTTCAACGCTTCATTCAATTATAACCGCTGATTTACTTATAATCAAGGCTTGGTCAGACTTCAACTTACTTAGCTTTAACGTGGATAAGACTGTAGCATTATCTTATAAAGGAGTCACGCAACCCTTGCTTTTGAATGAGAGCCAAATCAATATCGTAAATTCCGTGAAATTTCTAGGTATTCTCATTGACAGTGATCTCAAATGGTCCTTGCATACTGACTCCTTAAGGAAGAAACTAGCATCAGCTTGCTTTGCAATAAGATCTGTTTCAAAGGAACTAAATTTATCTTCTGCCAAAATGGCATATTTCTCATTGTTCGAGTCCCATCTTCGATATGGGCTTCCATTTTGGGGTTCTAGTACAGCGGCCCAATTTGATACTATTTTTAAGTTGCAAAAAAGAGCAATCCGTTATCTATTTGGTCTCAAACAAACAACTCATTGCAAGACCTACTTCAAAAATCACGGAATTTTGACGCTTCCCTCTTTATTTATTTTGGAAACGGTTTGTTTGATTCGAAAGCATCTAAACATTTTTCCCGATAGACTTGACATGGCTACTCCATTAGAAATTCGGATTGTAACGTTTATTTGCCGATCCCGTCCATTCAGCTAGTAAAGAATTCTATTCTATATCGTGCAAAGAAACTTTATAATCACCTTCCAATAGAAATTAAATCCGCAACATCCTTCATTAAGTTTCGTAAGGTGACAAAAATCTATCTCTCAGAAAGACCATATTATTCAGTTGACGAGTTTCTTAATGTATAACAAAGAAACAAAATTAGTATTGTTTATAATTACATTTGGGTGTCTCAAGCAGTGACTACAATTTGTCTCATTTGTTGTTGTCTGTACAAATTATGTAGGTTATACAATAATTTTACTAATTTAAAATTGTGTTATTCTGTTTTTTACTATATTTGTTTTTGTTTTATACTTTTTGTACTATTTGACTGATTTATTTTTTAGCTTTGTCCATAAAATTGTTCAATAATTTTCAGTGACAATAAAGCATATTTCTATTCTATTCTATTGATCAAAGATTTTCCTTTTGAGTCATATGGGTAGATCCAATTTAAATACATAGTTTAATTTACCAAACGTTGCCCAGGCTAATCCTGTGCGACGTGGAAGCTCACATGTCTGGTTATCTCTGCCCAACCGAATTTCATATCCTAGGTACTTGTACGATGTAGTCTGCACAATATCCCATCCATCAACAGCAATATTTCGATTTAGCACCAGATTAGTCGTTATTTGCGTCTTGTTCATATTAATCTTTAGTCCGACCTCCAACGAAGCGTGATATAATTGCATTATCCATACGATCGGCTATAAGGACTAGAGGTGTGCTTATTAGTTCTTTTAGACGAACTAGTTCAACAGAACTATTTCACAAAAATGAACTAGTTCGCGAAAGAACTATTTGTAGGACCGACATCGAAATCCAACCCTAACAGAACTGGTTGCCAGCTGTCTCGTCTCAATCATCACACAAGCTCGGCGCTGGCCGCCCGTTTACTTCGGTTTTCAGTCAGTATTTCACTAGTTCACTACCGTACAAGTAGTTCGAACTATTTCTTTCTTTCAGTCAGTCTTTCACTAGTTCACTACCGTACAAGTAGTTCGGAACTATTTCTTTCGATCGTATGTTTAGGTTTAAATGGTTTAAATTATTATATGATTAGTTAGTTTTTATTTGCAAAAAATTATTAGGATTTGTTTTTTATTAACCGTTTTAAATATAAATATGGTTCAAGTATGATTTATTTTTATATTTACGTATATTTAAACTCATAGGTATTTATAATCAGGTTATTTCTAAAAGAACCTTTATAAAAAAATCAGTGAATTTTCTAGGAACATTAAATAACACATTTTCATTCTCACTTTTACCTAAAATTATATTTTATGTAAATGCCTCAATCATTTTAACCACAACTAAAATTTTTATTTCAAAATTACAATACAAGAAACAACACAGCATGGCAACATCCAAGCCAATACATGGGCATAAGATCCAAACCATTATGACATTAAGATAAGACCTTATGGTATTGTCACATTCATAAGAATTATGAATCTGTTATCTGAGGCTAATCGGCATTTTTTTAAACTAGTTAGTCCATCCATTCACAAAATAATAAATATATGTTTCTAATTCATTCATTCATTATTTTCTTTTTTAAAAGTCGAGACATAATTTATAATGCAAATCGTTCGCAGTGAACTAGTTCTATGAAAATTAATGAACTAGTTCAATTAGTTCAGTTGAAAGAATCGTTCATTAGAACTATTTCGATGGTGAACTACACATCCCTAATAAGGACGATGTCATCTGCAAATCTCAAATGACTGAGTTTCTCTACATTTACGTTGATATCCTGCTCGTTCAGATGTGCCTTCTTACAAGTATGTTCTAAAAGCGTCGTGAATAGTTTTGGAGAGACTGTGTCTTCTTGTCATACTCCTCGCTATATACAGAATTTGTTTGTTTCTTGTTCAGATAGTCTTACGCTAGCTGTGGCATTTTGGTAGATATATTTGATTATGGTAGTGTAGCGATGGTCTATTCGGCATTCTGTCAATGCTTTTAACATTTTCTGATGGCTTAAGCTATCGAATGCTTTCTCGTAGTCATCTAAGTGCCAATGGTTTGTTGTATTCTGCAGACTTCTCTATTAGGTTCTTTATCACTTGTAAGTGATCTTTAATGCTGTGCTTACTTTACTTTTTCGTGTCTGGATCCGACTAGTTTTTCTGTCCAATATCGGGCTACGTCTACAGCCTTTGTATTTGCGAGCCATAAATTATCGAGGGTGCACTGTGATGGGCAAAGTCTGCATACTCGCAGGTGCTCTACGTTCTGTATTTCCCCACATTCACAAAGTGCGTCGCTATCTGTCTTGATATTTAATGAGGTTCTGTTTTACAGGGATAACACCTGTGCGTGTGCGGTTGAGTGTCCGCCAGGTTCATTCCATTAGGTCGTTCTGGATGTAGGGGGAACAGTTCGGGTGGCTCAACGCTGACATTTCTCATAAAGCTTTGCCTTTCATCGAAAATTTGCCAGAACTTCTCCACATATTGTGGGGCGCATCTACGGTCTTCTTAGTGCTGTATCTCGATCTACATCCAGCTTGTTCTCTAGGCTGATAGAAGTCTAATTTAGCGTCCAGTCCAGTTTTTTGATAATTTTTATGAAAAGAAAAAAGTTTTTGTTTTTGTGAAAAAATCTGACTATACCGTACAAAAACTTGGCGTTCAGTTTCTGGTAGAACATAGACAAAAGAAAAACAGTATCTATCCAGCCAATAGATTATTCCTTATTAAATATTATGCTTTCAAGATTAATTGTCGCGATGTACTGACTCATAATGTTATGGAGGAAATCTGGTGTTCATGTTCTGATTTATTATTGAATCTGGCAAATAACATAGCCTAACTAGACAAGCAAGTACATTTCTTTTAAAACTTCGGATAACCGTAGATATACACAAACTCGTAAAAATTACGTAAAAATCATTATGGCAGATGTACAAGAGATCAAGCTCTGAAGTTAACTTCCTGACTCATAAACAGTTTTCCAATAACTTATTAGGTATTAGAACAGCTAAAATTGATTATGAGATAATTTAAGAGTTTCCTTACTGATCTACATTTTCGGGTAGGCATAAATGGTATAGTCTTAGTGACATAAAACTAGTAATAAGTGGCGTTCCTTAGGGATCAGCGCTCGGTCCTATTCTACTTAACATTTTTTACATTTCTGATGTCCGTTCTGTTTCCTCTAGTTTTTTATTTGTTGAAATAATACCCAAGATTTAAATCAAGTGTTTATGTTATGCACTACGTGGATTTTACCACTGAATATTTCTATTTTACATATTGGACACACAAACAACAAAGTAAATCCCAATTAGAGCAACATGAGATTCCCGGAGTAAAAGGTTTTCATAACCGAAGATCAAAAAGGTCACGCCTCTTAGATTCCTGATTCCCAAGACCCTCCCAATCACAGACATAACGTAGGTGACGCTTTACTTGTTTTTTTATCTTGAATGCGCTAGGAAATGGGGCATCAAAGAAGCCTTCCTACGCATGCGGTGATGCCATTTTAGTATGCGCATTTCTTTGTTTTACCTTTCTTTTTGTAAAATCTCTAGAATTGCCTCTTCTCCAAATGTATGCCCATCCACTGCCTTACAAAGGTTTTTGTGTCCGCCGGACGATCGGCTGCTGCCGATTTGGCAAACTGTTTTTGCTTATCTCAACAGCCGACCATCCGGAGGTCTGGCCACCAAGCCCGTAATTAATGGTGTACTTTGATGTAAAACTGGAGTAGTTAACCTAGGGGGTGAGAGACTTCCGAATCCTTTTTGGAAAATAACTGCCAGCGACTTATCGAAACATGATTAGTATGGGCGACAATAAAAAATGAGTTTGTCAAATCGTTTTATATTGTATAAAAAATTTTATAACATACAAAATATTACAATTATCCTAAGGAAATATCTCCAACCTCCAAGATTTAGCTCTGGAAACTGATGGAGGGCTTCGATATTCTGGATCTGAAAATATGTATTATAATTATTTTCATGTTTTCCCATACAATTTTTTTATATTCAAATAAATTTAAAATTTGTGTACTCAATAATATAAACAATTAAATAAAGGAGCAAATAAAGCTTTATACAATTTTATGAGCTAAAGTTGTTGATTTGGTAGGTGGATTAAAGTTGTGACTTAATTAGTTCAGGTATTAACTCCACTGATATTGAGTTTGGGTATCTATGTAAATTTTAGGTGTAATTCCTGAAATAACTTTAAATTTCAGATTTTACAGTTTTCATTTTGCAACACAGCTCCTTGAAATGTACCAAAGCTTTATTTTGAAAAAAATACAAATAGCTGATCATAAAGAAATCACTCCATAAAAATTCATTTTAGAAATAATTCTAGTGACGTCAACTACTCAACAGGCAACTAAATTACTGTTTATTCGTCTTCCGGGTTTGGACCGTGTCATTTGTGAGTGACCCAAAAGTGGGTTCATCTCGACGTTTCGCTACAATTGTATGTAGCTTCTTCAGGAGAACAGAAAAAAGAAAAAAGAAAGAAAGAAGAAAACAAAGAACAGGAAGATGGGTAGTTAGCAACGGTAACTCAGTTACTCAACGCAACCAGAGGCGAATACTAACTACCAAGATGGGCATTTGGTCACAGTAACTCAACTACTCAACGCAGCCAGAGGTGAAAACCAAATGCCAGGACAGGGATTCACGTCCAACAACTCAGAACACTAACGCGTCGAGAGGCGGGGAGTGAATCCGACGATTACTCCGCTACCGCTCTATTTATAGTCGCGGTGCCTGTCGTGTCGGGACGTATCGGCACACTTCGTGGCGCGAACGTCAAGAAGCGCGCGCTGGCCAATCATGTGGCTGCATCGTAGTGGCGGGACCGGACGGCGGTTCTAGACTGAGATTCCAGATGGGAGACAAGTAGTATCCTTCCTCTCGATTGATATTATGGGGATTTTTTCGGATCTCTAGAGATTCGCGGATTTTCCTGGAATAAAAGAAGGGGTTTTTAGAAATAATATGGGTTTTTTCGAACAATATGGAATGACCGGTTTCTTGGCAGTGTTCTGCAACTGCAGAATGGGAGAAAAGACCTGATCGAATGCATCTTTGATGCTCTTGAATCCGAGTTTTGACGGAACGACCAGTTTCGCCAATATACACATGTCCACATGAACAAGGAATAGAATAGACACCACAGGAAGATAGGGGCGGTAATGGGTCCTTAGGAGAGGGTAGATATTGTGAGATTCTCTTGGGTGGTCGAAAAGTAGTCCTGATACCTTCTTTGCGAAGAATTTTGCCAATCCTATCAGTGACATTTCGAATATACGGAAGAAAAGCCACAGGAGTATTACCCGAAGATTCTGAATTTGTCGTCCTAGGGTGTAAAGGGGGATGTATGTAGGGGGAGGTCTTGAATCCGAGTTTTGGCGAAACTGGTCGTTCCGTCAAAACTCGGATTCAAGAGCATCAAAGATGCATTCGATCAGGTCTTTTCTCCCATTCTGCAGTTGCAGAACACTGCCAAGAAACCGGTCATTCCATATTGTTCGAAAAAACCCATATTATTTCTAAAAGCCCCTTCTTTTATTCCAGGAAAATCCGCGAATCTCTAGAGATCCGAAAAAATCCCCATAATATCAATCGAGAGGAAGGATACTACTTGTCTCCCATCTGGAATCTCAGTCTAGAACCGCCGTCCGGTCCCGCCACTACGATGCAGCCACATGATTGGCCAGCGCGCGCTTCTTGACGTTCGCGCCACGAAGTGTGCCGATACGTCCCGACACGACAGGCACCGCGACTATAAATAGAGCGGTAGCGGAGTAATCGTCGGATTCACTCCCCGCCTCTCGACGCGTTAGTGTTCTGAGTTGTTGGACGTGAATCCCTGTCCTGGCATTTGGTTTTCACCTCTGGCTGCGTTGAGTAGTTGAGTTACTGTGACCAAATGCCCATCTTGGTAGTTAGTATTCGCCTCTGGTTGCGTTGAGTAACTGAGTTACCGTTGCTAACTACCCATCTTCCTGTTCTTTGTTTTCTTCTTTCTTTCTTTTTTCTGTTCTCCTGAAGAAGCTACATACAATTGTAGCGAAACGTCGAGATGAACCCACTTTTGGGTCACTCACAAATGACACGGTCCAAACCCGGAAGACGAATAAACTATAATTCTGACTCTGGCCGTGGAAGCCTACGATTTCATTTAACTAAATTACTGTCTATTACTACAGATACAATTTATCACGATTTTTTTAAATAGGGTATTGAAATAAATAAAATAATAAATATTTTGAAGTTTTTTCCATTGAGATATTACTTGCCATATAACGATCCCATTTAAAGTAATATTTCAAAATGACACCAGTCGTCATTTTTAATGACTACGTCACTGAAACATTATAAAACGCGTGGTGAATGTAGCATACACAAACAGAGAAAAAATAAAAATATTATAAAATATCACATTTTTGATAGAAAACAAATACAAAATTATTTTCATACAAGTACAATCAGAATATCGAATAGATGGTTCTTAACATCCTTAATTTATATTTGATTCAATATTTTTACTGGGAATAGATTTATATCTTACCTAAATCTTGTTTGTTCTGTATGATGGCCAAAATAGAATAATCATTAGATTCCTCTTCTTTAATAAACACTTCAGACCAAATCTTCGAAATTCTTGCTATCATACTATCCTGTAAGGCGGACAAGGTTTTATGCAAATTAATTGTTAATTCTAGATTATGTTCATATCCAGCTAAGCAAATTTCTTTAATTTCTTCTCCAAAATTAAAAACTTCACCGTATAGAATGTGTAGTGCTCGTATCAGAGCTATATCTTCATAATATCCGCCTTCTTTAAGATCGATTTTTTTTCTTTCCTCCTTTCGACGATTCCTTGATGATAAAGTAGATCTGAAAAGAAAATAAAATTGTCACGACACGAAATAGTTGAAAGAGTTAACCTTTTAAGGTGAATGTTGGGGCCAAAGGAAACGTTGTACGAATGTACATCTTAAAATTATGCAATAATCTTTGCATAATGAATATTTTGTTTAATTTATAAATTGAATATATAGTGAATACGACAGATAAAATCATAAAAAATATTTCTTCGGGCTCTGCTGAAAATATCAAAAATTGATGTATATATATACAGATTGAACGAAATAAATTCGGAACATAGGAATATAATGTATTTCGGCTCAATTCTGCTGTAGGTGGTTGGCCAACAAAATATTGTCAAATAATTATATTATAAAAATCCAATACTTCAGCGGGCTGCTGGATTCTGAACTCATAAAAATTGAAAGCTACACATAAATCTACGATTTATGCTGTCAAACCAGTTATAGTCCAGGAAATGAAGCATTTCAGCTCGCAATTTTTTCGTGCTCCCTGGATTGACTTGAAATTTAACAGAAGGTAGGTAATAGCCTAAGGATCAAAATCTATATCGAACCAAAGTGCGCCAAAGCCTTGGGGGTGGTTGCCACCCCATCTCCGAAGTGAAATTTTTTTTACGTTTTAACTACAGGTTTCGATTAAAAAAGTGATTCTAAACAAAAAATGTGCTATACATTTTTTTTATAAAATGATATTTTTCAAGTTATCCGCGATTGAAAGTAATCAATTTTTGGACGAAAAAATCCACGTTTTTAATCGATTTTTCGCGAATAATTCGAAAATGGTGCATTTTATGAAAAAAATTGTAGAGAACAAATTTGTAGCTTTTAAAAAGACAAATACAATTCATTTTTTAAAATGTTTTTGGGATATAATAGGAACCGAAATACGGCCTATCAATGTTCAGCGGTTTTCTTCAAATGAAAAATTTGAAAGATTCAAAATCAAATATCGGGAAAATGATGCATTTTTGGAAGAAAACTCACAAAACCTTTTTTAAAGAGCATAAATAGACCTATCATAAAAAAGACTCTAGCTCAAAAATTGAGTGAGTTATGATGAAAATGAGGTCAATACCTCATTTTTTACGAAAAAATCGAAACAACACCCTAACCTCCTCCATAATTAAAATCGATCTTTACCCTTCTGAAATTCCCTTTGTACATGTATTGTTAAAACGTCCAAGAAGTTTGACCCATTTAAAATGCTTTGTGTGGAAAAAGTACAGCTTAAAGCGAGAAACGATTTACAATTTCATATTTTTTACCCTTCTTTTTTTAAATATGCCCGAAAATACTGAATATATGAAAAAAATACAAATTACCAAATTGTAGCTTTTTTAATGACTAAAATTATCCTTCATTTAGATTTGTTGTACAATGAATATTTGGCGAGACATAGCCGTTTAAAGCATCGATTTACGATCAAGCACCATCTTTTTCGAGCCCTTTAAACTCACCGCATTTAAAAACCAAGGGTTCCAAAAAGATTTAATTCACAATCCTTGTAGCTCTTAAAAACCTCTACAAATCGTTTTTGAAGAAACACTCTATAGTTAAAAATTAAAAGAAATATGTTAAAAAAACCAGTGAATTTTTTTCCGGAAAATTCTATTAGTATAGTACAGTACATTTCGGAGCATAATAATCTACAAAACCGGTATATTAGCTAGTGGGGCGTTATACATTCGAAATTTTAAGCGTTCTTATTTTGAAATTCCATACAACAGAATAAAACATCTGCTCATATGTCTATGGCTTGGCAATGAAAATATTAGAGCAACAGATTGGGGATGGTATTCCAAAGATGGTTTGTTATTACCCGTACGCATGAACAAACAACCTGCACTCGATGAACTTTTGAAAATTATTTTTTGGCAATGCAAAAAAGGATGCGGTGTTTCATGTGGGTGCAGAAAAGTTGGTTTATACTGTAACTCTACTTGTTCTGGGTGCTCAGGTAAAGGGTGCAATAATAGTCCACCAATAATTGAAGATGAGGATGACATAGATCACGATGAAGATGTAATTGATGACGAATAAAATTAATATTATAATTGTTTTACCTATAAATGTAAATATTTTCTACTATTTATGTAAATGTATAAGAATATATGGTGCCTTTTTATGTTGATACATTTTTTTGTATTTAATTCTACTTTTTTCAATTTATATCTTATAAATTAGTTTATAAAAACTGCAATGTTGTAAAGGGTGATTTTCAAAAGTTGAAAAGTTGCAAAATTTTGGCAAAAAATTGTTTTCACCTATAGCACTCATAACAATTGATTTTTAAGGGTTGAAAATGTATGAATTTGTATTTTAAAGTATAAAAAAATCAATATTTAACTAATCCAAACCAAATTTCACTCATCTTAAGATTTATAATATTATTTTACAATTTTTGAAAATTAGGGGTAGTTTTCATCCCTAAGAACAATCAGGGTTCATCGGCATGACATAAACTATAAAGCAGAGGGTGAGTTGAGCTTAAGTCCAAATTTTTATGCAAATCGTTCCAAGGTGAAATCATTTTCTTCGCATTACTAATTTTTTTATATTAATCTCTAATAAGGGTCGCTTTTTAAGGGTTAAAATATGATCGAACTTTATTCAAAAGCACGAAACTATCATTATTTAATTAATTCAAACCAAATTTTACCCATATTCAGGTTTAATATGTTATTTTATAATTTTTGACAATTACGGGTAGTTTTCACCCCTTAGAACAATCAGGGTTCGTCGATATGACATAAACTATAAAGCAGCGGGTGAATTGAGCTTAAATCCAAATTTTTATCCAAATCGATCCAAGGCGAAATCATTTTTTTAGAATTAGTAATTTTTTTACATTAACCTCTAACAAGGGTTGCTTTTTAAGGGTTGAAATATGATGGAACTCTATTCAAAAGTATAAAATAATCATTATTTAACTAATTCAAACCAAATCTTACCCATATTCAGGTTTAATATGTTATTTTATAATTTTTGACAATTAGGGGTAGTTTTCACCCCTAAAACCCTTCAGCGCACTTCGGTTCGATATAGATTTTGATCATTGGGCTATCACCTACCTTCTGTTAAAATTTCAATTGGACACATGCATTACGAAAAAATTGCGAGGTTTTAACTTTTTTCGAGATTCATTTCCTGAACTATTATCGTTTCCTTAGACAAACCCGTCTTACGCAAACAACACTGTTGTGAGACAGATAGTTGAACGATATTTTATACAATGTCTATACCCAGGTATGGATTTATTTTTGTCCAAGTTTTATATTGGTCCACTATTTCAAATGCAGTTCAAACAGACATGTATTAAATTGTATGTTCCGTTTTAATTTGGTTCAATCTGTATATATATATATATACAGTGTAGGTAAAATTTTAAGGTCGGTATGGTAAAATTTAACAGGATATCTAACGCAGATATAAAATCATATTTTCAACGAATTAGACAAAGATAACAATCATATTTCCCCTTCGTCTCCCCTCCTAAAATCCTTTTCACACTCATTGGCCATTGCCCATTAGTGAGACGATTAGTTCCGATCAGATATTCTCTGGTTCCGATCCTAATATACCTAAAAAACTAGAGGTGGGTCTTCTCGTTTTTTTAATTTTTATCGGAACCGTTTTTCGTAAACTGTAACTAGTTGATTGTTTACCAGTATTCAAATTAGCGAGTACACAAACATATTAGCTATTATCGTTTATGTGTATAAGTATTGAAATAAAAGAACCTAACGAAGGATATATTTATTGTGACTTGAAAAATAAATTAAATAATACAAATGGTACTTAAATAGTTACATTTACATTACACATTATTAAATCGCGAATCGTCTAAATTGACATTTAAAAACATAAGTTTTTCCACTTTTCTTGTTAATCGCGTTCTTCTTTTATTTAAAATTATACCAGATGTTAAACATGTGTTCACAAGGAAAAGATTTTGTTACAATACTACAACATTTTATGAATATAGTGGTTAAGTTACGATATACATGGCGATGGTTTTTTCACCACGGTAATGGACAGTTCCAATCTCCGTTCGAAATTGTTTGTGGGTAATATATCATCAGACAATTACATGTCGACTTCTTTTATACCTCTCGATACAGGTGTATGTTTAGATGAGTCATGTCCAATTAATTCATCAAAAATACACCATGGACTTAAGTCATCTTTATCAGTTTCTTTTTCTTGGACTGATTGATTTTCAAGATTTACTAAACTTTTCGTTTCATCCGTTTTCCATAGTTAAAGAACCAGCTTTTAAAAAGTTTGCAGGGTGGATTCCTGGATATAAACCGCCAACAAGAAAAACTTTGTCAGGTTCATTACTTTAGGAATGTTATGTCAAAAGTGAGCAAATTATTAGATCGCAAGTTGTTAAAGAAGTAGAAAATATCTGTATTACTACTGACCTCTGGACATCTGGAGTAACTGAGAGTTACTTCGCATTAACAGGACAATATTTAACCGAAAATTTAGTATTCAAAACTTTTTTATTAGGCTGCTGCCATTTTTCTGGAAACCATAATCCAGAAAACAGCGATTACTAAAATTATTAATCAGTCGGGTCTAAAACGAAAAGTAAATTTTGCAGTAACTGATAATTTCTAAAATATGGTCAAAGCTAATAAATATGTTTTGTTTTATGATGATTGTGATTTATGATGATGATTAAATTTATTGGTGGGGGACGCACTTAAATGCTGTCGTGTACAAATAGATAAAATAAAAAGTCCTTTTTTCGACAATTCTGCAAAAAAACACATTTCAAAAAAGTACCTTATCTTCAGAAGGGCTTTTAAAGTATTAATTACAACAGAACACAGTTCCCAAACGGCCAATCCAAGACGTGGAAACTAGGTAGAACTTCACCTATTACATGTTAAAAAGAATGACCGAGTTAGAAGAGGCAACCCGTTCCACATTGGTATTAAATAATACAGACTTAGACTTAAACCTAATCTAAATAAAGAACACTGGATTATTTGTTCTCAACTTTCCCAAATTTTACGGCCGTTTAAAGAAATAACATTTTAACAGAAATTTTGCTCCTACGCTCTTAATGATAAACTAGCACGACCCACCTCTACTTCTCGTTACTCGATCTTTGACCAGACGACTATCTAGACTAGACGTTGCCAAATAAATTAGTGTATGAATATTTTTAATTTGGCGTTATTGTATGCATGTTTAATTGTTTATTATTTCATATTGGGAAATTATTTTGATGTTTAGATTTTTAGTTCGGAAATCGTACTTAAAATACGAAACATTAATAAATTTTATTTATATAAAACGATTTCCGAAATGGAAATCAAAATGTTATATTACAATTATTGTAAAGAAAACTTGTGGCATATTCCCAATAAAAAAAACAGTAACCTACCATTTAAATCAATTTCGCCCAAATTTGATTATCTTAAGCATTTTATCTTCTTGATAGAACATTGTTCAAATGCAAAAAAAGACAACAGGTCAAATAAAACCAATAGGTTTGGCAACGTTGAATTTCCCCTTTTTTAATATTTCCATTCGGCGATATAAAGGGCGTACCTAATATACCTCTCTCTTTTTAAACAGCTGTTTCTCACTCCATCTCACGTAAGGCCCATACCGACCATAAAATTTTTCCTACACTGTATATATATATATATATATATATATATATATATATATATATATATATATATATATATATCGTAATATTTCTTTATCAGGAATACTTAGTCTTTGTTTCGTTATTAACGTCATCTACTGCATTTATAGCGAACAAATTATAATATAAAATAATACTAACCCCCTTGATCTAGAAGTAGCCTTGGAATATGATGATGCAACGTGGCTGGATGTGTCTGAATATAAATCATCTTGATCATCATATACTCCTAGAGAAATCATATGTAATTTTGAGATTCTCTCAGCTCGAATAACATCCAAACGGTTAGAATAACTTTCAAACTGTTTTCTATAGTTATCAATTTTCTCCATCAAAAACACCATATACTCCAATAATTTCGGAATTATTTCACTTTCTGAAATAAAAAATCTTTATCTACATATATGTGGAATTCTACAGGGTGATTAATAACTACGTGGTATAGCAAACATACATTTTTTTTTAAATGACACCCTATATATTTTGTCAAATTTGTATTCTTCTCATAATTCTTGTTATGTTTACTAAAGTAACCAAAGTTTACTTTAGTAATTGGCAACTTGAGGAAGATTGAATAGGCGCGTTGCCTATTAAAAAGAATGAAAAAGAAGAAGATTGAAGTGATCATGGCCCGCTGACATGAAGATAAACTAAGTCTCCTTCATTGGAAGGAATCGCTCCACACCAATGAGGACGCCAGATTACAAGTCAGGTGGTTAAAGGCTGGTTATAGACCTCGGAGGTAATATGAGATGTCAACCCATATTGCAATAAAACTCTGAGAAATGTCCACCCGTTTCCCAACGAAAGGATTGGGGGTTCTGGAAACAGAACTCGGCTCTGCCAGTAAATGCTACTCTCACGTCCTTGAAGACATATATGTCGCGTAACCACCGGGTATATGGCGTACAATGGATGTGCGTTATATAGCGGAGAGAGGGTGAAAGGCGAGTTTCTGGCGCCTTAAAACTGGAACATGTCTACTAAGTGAAGAAACCCCAACAGAAAATCCTGGTTCTCAGAGCTTCGGGGTTGGAGCGATGGGCCAGTCCTTCATCATATGGAAAAAGCTCTTTTAACTAAAAATTCTAACGCCGAGCGTCGGAATATGGATGGAAACTTACGACGAAGACATCTGGCAAAGAACAGGACTTTGAAAATTAGTACTAGGAACACTCAAGGTATGACTCACAAGATAATGGAAATTTTAACTAAAATGACGAAGCAAAAAATGGACATCATTGTGCTCTCTGAAACCAAAAAGAAAGGCCAAGGAAATGAACAGATTAAAGACAACATTCATATATGTTCAGGAGTAGAGAAACACGTACACGCTAAATCACGCTTATCAAACATTTGTGATAAATTCAAAAATCATCAAGAAATAATACTGTTAGGAGACCTAAATGCCATAGTAGGTTCTCAAATAGATGATGACGTGGTGGGACAGCACGGAGAAATAGTTAAAAATGGCTCAGGTTACAGATTAATTGAGTTCTGTCAACTTTTTGGTTTAAAAACAATGAATACCCAATTCCAACATAAAGATATTCATAAATACACTTGGGAATGACCTTCAATCCAACAGAAGTCGACCATGGACTATATAATAATGAAACAGAAATCAAAATTTAAGTGCCAAGACTGCAGAGTAAAAAGAGGATCTAACTGTGGGACAGATCACTACTTTCTTTTAGCTAATCTTTTGTATTCCTTCAAACAATACTACAAACAGAACACTGAAACTGAGACAAACAATACTACACAGTACAAAACGGAGAGATATAAATTTAACTATTTATTCCAACCAAGTATTAAACATCTTTTTCAATCTAGATTAGAAAAGGAACTAATTGAGATGGAGAGATATATGGATGTAGAACAAGAATACAACCTCAAAACGATAATAAAAAAAATTGCTTATGAAGTATTAGGAACAGAGAACAACGACAAGAAAACACCACGAACCACCATGGATGACAAAAAACGTAAAAGAAATGATACAAGAAAAAACAAAATATATAAGAGATGGCTAGTAAATGAAACATTTAGCAATAGAGTAACATATCAAAGGAAAGACGGAGAAGTACACAATCAAATAAAAGAAGCAAAAACATTTTCTGGGAACAAAAATGTGTCCAAGTTTTAATTTAATTAAGAAAATTTAATTGGTGGTTCTTAGAATACGGACACATGGAAAACTATCATTAATCTAAAGAAAAACATCCATAACTCCTTAAGCAACTTAATTCCTATAGAAAAATGGGAAAATCACTATAAAAATGTACTCCTAGAGTCCAGATTGGAATTTATAGGAGAGGAATATAGTATGGAGAGACAAACAAATAGTAATATTAATTATACTAACAACGAGGTCCGTACTGTGTTAATTAAAATGAAAAACGGGCGATCTCCAGGACCTGGCAATATAGCTGTAGAGTTACTTAAAGCAGGAGGTCCACTCCTAATAGAAAGAATAACTTTTCTAATGAATCAATGCTGCCAACAAATTAAAGTACCATCTGAATGGAAAATCGCTCATCAAGTGTCCATCTTTAAAAAGGGTAATCAAAAAGATCCTACCTAATACAGAGGGTTAAGTGTCCTACCTACTTTCGGGACATTGTTTGGAAAAATACTAAATGGAAAAATACAAGATGATGTACAAGTGACACATGACACACGAGTTTGAACCTTGTTTAGGCCTGAGCCTCTTCAAGGAATAGGTAACTCCTTTTTTTTTAAGGGAGTTGTGGGGGCGTGATAAACGTCAATTAAATTATGCACGAGCCAAGAAGTGGTGGACTACTAAGGAACAGGGAGAAGACGTTCCGCCAATTTTACCGGCTAGCACTTTCAGGAGATTAAACCTCTGTCTCACCCTATCTAGGGATTCCTGGACGTTGACCTTCCAGCTGAGAGTTTTTGTAAAATGAACTCCCAAGTAGAGAACCGAGTTCCTGAGAATGAGGTCTTCTCCCAAAAGTGATATCCAGCCCTAGACGTCACGACAGTAAGGGAATTTGAATAAAATTGCTTGAGTTTTGGAGGTATTTATGGTCACCCTCCATTTGTTGCACCACTTCACGACTCTGTCAAGGTATTCTTGCGATCTCTCGAATACAGACCGTCGTTCGCACTCTCTGTGGGAGCCTGAAGTGAGAATGGCCGTGTCAACAGCGAAAAGAGGAAAGATTCTGATTCTTGCTGTGGGCGGGGAACGTCACTATTGTAGACTGTGTAAAGTAGGACCTTTAATTAGCGAAGACTAAAGTGGACTTACGCCTGGTAGATCTTGCACTGATAACTTGTTTAAACTCCAACAACTAATAGAAAAAAGAATGGCAGTTGGTACCGAAGTACATCTAGCCTTCATCGACCTAGAAAAGGCGTATGATACAGTTCCAAGATTTAAATTGTGGCAAGATTTGCAACAACTCGGCATTAGTCCATACATTTTAGGAATAATCACAGAAGTACACTACTTACCTAAAAATCGGAAATAGACTATCAGAGTCAATAAAAGTAACTAAAGGACTAAGACAAGGATGCAGTATGTCACCCTTACTGTTTAACTTATATATTGAAGCAGCCCTCCAGAATTGGAAAAACCACTGCATGGGAATGGGAATACCTATAGGAAATGACGTACTATTCTCCGTGAACTTTGCGGATGACCAAGTCGTCCTAGCTCAAGATTCTTATAATCTAGAATTATATATAAAGCGTTTATACAGAGAATATGTAAAATGGGGGATACAAGTCTTCTTCTTCTGGTAGCACTACAACCCGGGGTGGGTTTTGGCTGACTGCACAACCTGCTTCCATCTCGAACGGTCGTCCATAATGTTTAAGTCAGTGGGTAGGCCAATTGTTCTCAAATCTGACCATATATTATCTCTCCATCGCATTCGTGGACGTCCTAAGGGCCTTCTCCCTGTCGGGACTTCTTCCAAGATTAACTTGGTAAGGCGGTTATTAGGGAGCCTATGAACATGGCCAGCCCATCTTAGACATTGGGATTTAATCTCTTGGACTACGTCGCTAGCACTATACATGTGTTTGACCTCGGCATTTGTTCTCATTCGGTATTGGTTAGTATTCGGATCGTGATAGGGACCGAAGATCTGAGTTTACCCATACATGAGCACCGGTCTAATTACTGTTTTATATATCCTGATTTTTGATGTTCGTGTTAGGCTCTTGGATTTAATAGTGTGGAGGCTACACATACATCTGTTTGCTGCCTGAATTCTCCCTTTTATCTCTTCCGTGATATCGTTATCTGTGGTGATAGTCGCTCCGAGATATTTAAAACTCTCCACTCTTTCAAAGTTATAGGGGTCTATTGTTACATTTTGTCCTATTCTATCTCGTCTCTTTTGTCTGTTAATGCACATATATTTGGTTTTCTCTTCATTGACCCTTAGACCGGTATTTTTTGCCTCTCTCTCTAATTTATTGAAGGTTTCTTTTACATTGGTGACGGTATTTCCTACAATGTCAATGTCATCCGCGTATGCTAGTAGTAATTTTGGTCCATTTACTGTCAGTAGTTCTGTTCTAATTTGTGCGGTTCTTACTACTTTTTCCAGGATTATATTAAAAAGAAGAGGTGAAAGCGCGTCTCCTTGTTTCAGTCCACTGTTTATTTCAAACGACTCTGAGAGCTTGTTACCTATCCGCACTCTAGATCTACAGCCATTTACACAAACTTTAACGAGCTGAATGAGTTTTTTTGGAACTGAAAGTTCCGCCAAGGTTACAAGTCAGCATAAAGGAAACAGACTATTTAGTAATCAATTCAGATGCAAGGTCCAAAGTGTTCATAGACAAGGACGAGGAAATCAAACAAGTGGAAAAATTTAAATATTTAGGTGCACTCATTGATAAGAACGCCTTGGGAGAAACTAGAAGTAAACACCGAATTAATCAGAGACGTAAAAATGTAGGATGTCTGAACTCCTTATGGTGGGATCGTAACATTTCCAAAAGGAACAAAAAAAGAATACGGCGAACTATGGTTGAATCTGTTCTTTGTTATGGCTCTGAAGTATAGACAATGAATGCAGACCTGAAGAGAAGATTGTTGGCAGTTGAAATGGATTATTTGAGAAGAAGTGCTAGAACATCAAGGCAGAAAAGGAAGACCAACGAATCTATAAGAAATAACATGAATGCTACAGAAACGGTCATTGACAGAATAGAAAGAAGAGGTTTAAAATGGTTTGGACACCTATTGAAAATGGACACTCATGGAATGAAGGAATTAGAAGAGCGATGGAATCGAGAGGTTTGGAGGAGCATGCCTTGGAACGGGAGGACTGGCGGAGGAGAACGGGAATACGGCGATGACAGTCTCCAAAATGTATTGTATTTACAAGTTAGATCCTGTAATATATATGTATATAAAAAATTATAAGTAACAATTTGCTTACCTATTAAATTATGTTCCCTGTATGTTTCCGCTAAACATATTGCTCTTCTAAAAACGTTATGTTGAACGAGAACCCCTATAGCACCTTTATAGTTGTTATTGTGAGTTTCCAATAATATCACAGCATCATCGATTTGTTTTTCTTTTATTAAATCATAAATCAATTCTTCAATGACCTTAACTTTTTCCTCTGGTCCATATTGTAATTTTGAGCACAAAGCAATTACTTCTCTCCAATCAAGCCCTTTTTTATATTCCAACAAAGCCTCTTCATACAATTTAGCTTTTTTTAAAAGTATTCCAGCTTCACCATATTTTTTCAAAATGGACAACGTTTTTGCATACAAACGGGAAACCAGTACAAAATGTCTGTTGGAAATATCTATGCTAAAGTAAGCTTTATCTTCCAAACGGTTTTTAATTATAAAGTCTTGAATAAAATCTGCCTCTGCTGTCTCCCAACGTAACAAATACCTTATGGCTGCTCCAAGATTTCGACCACGAATACTCATTTTAAATTTCCTTTCCAATATACTCATGTTTCTAAATTGTTTGATTTCGGGATCGTAAACTTTTGGATCCTCCAGGCTATTGCGATAGACTAATGATAAAAAGTCTAAATCATACAAATTATAAGCAACATTTTCAATGTCTTTAAAATGTTCCTGTATTAATAATTGTTTTATAGCTTTACCACAGACAGATTCATTCCGAAGTTTGTCAGACACAAAAACATCTTTTACTGATTTTAACGCAGATTTTAAAGAAATATGTTTTTGTTGTATCGCTACTATGCTCTGCAAATTATTAATACAATCTGTAGAAACCAAATAATTCAATATGTCAATTATTATCGATTTTTTATCATAATCAAATTTGGGCGTTGTGAACGGTGAATAATTTTTATAAAAAGTTTCAAAGCAGTTATCATCTAGAGAGAATTCAGTTACGATATTACTTAAAATAGTGTTATTTTTGGCAGATTTTACAAAATCTTCGATATTAGCACGAAATCTTTCAGGATTTAGATCTATAAGGACATTCCAATTTACTTTTTCTATTCTTAAAATATGCAAAACTTCTGCCCACTTATTTTCTTTCAACATCTCCTCAATGACATCTACAGTAATCATTTTACAAGCTATTGTTTCTATGTTACCTCTTGGCATTTGCAAAATAATTTGTGGTGATATCAAGTTGGTGCAAGCTACTAATATTGCACCTTGTTCGATTTCTCTGTTAAATATTTTATTTAGATCAATGTCGCTTGTATATGAGAAATGATCACGTAAACGTATACAATACAGTTTTGAATTGGAATGTGTGAATATCAAGTATCCCCTAAAGACATACAATGACGTCACTCCTGAACATACTAATGTATCATTTACATAAAATTCTCGGTTCTCTGATAAAGCGAATTCAAAACTCAATTCATTGCCATTATCTTGAATAATATGTTTTGTTAAATAAATATAATTGTTGGTCACATCTAACGTTTTCATAGGTAACACAAGTTGAGTGTCATTATATGGTAAAGTAATACAGGGACTAGAAGTTTTAGTTTCCAATATAATGGACATTTCATTGTGCGTCTTGGTAATTGTGTCTATATTTTTCTCTGTTTTCAATATCACTCTTGCCTCATTCTCTTCCCACATAAATGACAAAATTTGATTGCTTGCACCAAACTTGTGGTCATTTAACGAAGTGATTCCTTCTATCACATCATTTCCAATATTCAAAAGTTTTATTTGGTAGAAAGAATCTATTAAAATACACATGCTTTTAAAAGGATGAAAAAAAATCCTATTCACAGGGTTTTCATGTGTAAAAGAACAGGATGATAGCGGTGGAGGTATAATCTTCTTATCGAAGAAGCTAAAATTGATTTCTTTTCCATTAATCACTGCAACAGTCGCTGTATTCGGACACCTGCTTATGACGAAACGGAAATAATGGCATTCTATATTTTTCACTGTAAATACTACCAATTTACATGTTGTAAATAAATTTTCTTGCAAACTTAGCCATTGAAAACTATAAACTTTCTCGGCTGGTGGATAATATAATTGTTGTTTAAAGAACCATCGACCATTGGAATATAAATAGATGTTTATAAAATTATTATCTTCTTTATCGACATACAAAATACCCAACATATTCATCTGAGAATGATAGAGTATTTTCTTAATGGAACCCTGTAACAAATTAATATACATATGCAGAGTGTTTCATCAGTAGGTATATGTAAATATTTTTAGCTGCATTTTGATAAACCTAAAGAATCTAAAGAAAATCTACTACTACTACTACAAGTGGTAGATCAAGTCAGAGGAAAGATGTTAATATTGGTGATTTTAACGCTCGAATAGGCAATCAAGTAATACCCAGCATTAAATAAAAACATAAGGAGAATGTTAAGAACGAAAATGGAGAACAGATGATCAACTTCTGCACAAATAACGAACTAAGAATAAACAACACATTTTTTGACCACAAAAACCAACACAAATATACATTTAATAACACTTGTGGACAAAGATCTATGATAGATTATGTTATAATCAACAGAGATATACATCCATTCAAAATAATCGACGTACGATGCCTCAACTGAGCAGATGTAGGTAACGACCACAGCCTAGTATTATGTAAAATAAGAACAATCCTGTAATACTTCCTACCCAAAAGAACGGCACCAACACAAACAAAAATCAAAGTAGAAGGACTAAATACAGAATCAAAGGAATACTTATACAGGAAAATAATATCAGAGATCACTGGGAATGAAATATTAGAAAACGATAACATCGAGGAAAGCTGGGAAAAACTCAAAAACAAATCATAAATAACGCAGCAACAGAATTATTTGGAGAGAGGAAAGTAACGAACACTAACATATCAAAAAATAAAAAACACTGGTTTAAGGAGGAAGTGAAGACAAAATATGAAGAAAAGAAGAAAGCCTTTTTAAAATACAGAACACAACAGGCATACAACCACTATAGTCGAATCAGAAATAAAATGAATACTTTAGTTAGACAAATAAAAAAGGAACACTGGCAGAGTTTTTCAAAATGAAACACAACTTCTATGGAACACCACCAAAGACTATACATGCATACAAGGTAACAAAAAATCCTATATAGATAATATTTTTACAAATCATATTTGATTCTGTTGTATTCAATTCTCATAGATCTGATCATACTACTCAAAAGGTAAAACCTGAATTAAATAAATTTAAGTAAAATATAATAAAAAAAAAACGAATATTTAACAAGGAGAATAAAGATTTTTTTAAATTCATGTTAGGAAATGTAGACTGGGTATCTGTTTTTGAGACATTAGAGGTTGATACTCAGTTGGATGGTTTTATGAATATATTTCAGAAAATTTTTATACAATGCTATCCACTCAAAGACATAAATAGAGCAAATAAAAAAAATCACAAAATACTTTAAAAATGATGATATAAAACATTGCAAATCTAGGCTTGATGTTTTGTTTACACTGTCTCCTAATAATGTTGATTATGAAGATATTTACAGGACAGAAAACGCAAATACAATTCTTTATTCACTCAATCTCGAAAAAATTGTTATAAAGAACGAGTTGAAAATAGCAAAAATAAAACTAAAATGGCTTGAGAATTAGTAATCGAGGTAATTTCTGTTTAGAGGGTGACCCTCAGGTGCTTTCTAACGAAATAAATCAATTTATGGCAAATGCAGTGCCAGAAGCTGTATGTAAAATAATCATTGCATGTTTCTAACTTCCGTTTCAGAGAAAGAAATAAGTATATAAATAAATAACTTAAAAAACAAGCATAGCTCTCGTTATTATGATATATCAACCAACTGAATTAAATATGTTTCATCAGAGAGTTTTCTTCCTCTTTCTTTTATAGTTAATAATTCTTTCAGGCAATGTAATTTTGTCAAAGTTTAAAACTGGCAATTGTCATTCCACTACATAAACAAGGTGATGTTACTAAGATGGAGAACTATATAGACCAATAAGCCTTCTTTCATCATTCCATCTTCACTACAAAACTTTTTTACTCCAAACAACTTATTTAGTAGTTCGCAGCATGGTTTTCTCTCAGGGAGATTTGTTCTATGATTTTATATCAAAAATTTTAGAAAAACTAGATGCAAAGAAAAAAAAAGATTTTGACAGAGTTCAACATGAAGAGCTTTTAAGTATTCTTAAGACCAAAAACATAGATAGTAGAAATTTACAAAATATATCGAATCTGTATCAAAATCAGAAAGCAAGAATAAGAGTCGAAAGAGAACTGATAGAGGAACTAAGTATACTTAGAGGAGTTCTACAAGGGTGCATACTTTCACCATTCTTATTCAACATTTACAGTAAAGAGATATTTCAAGAAGCTTTATTGGATATTGTGAAAGGTATTTTGGTCAACGGAAATAGCATTAATAATATTAGATATGCCTATGATACGGTCATATTTGCAAGTGACATGGAAGATCTACAGTACATAATACAACATGTATACAATGCATGTGAAAGGTACGGACTGCAAATGAATCTCAAGAAAACCAAATCAATGATATTCTCAAAAAAACCACAAAATGTAGATAACCTGATCATCAATAATACAATGATCGAAATAGTAACAACATTTAAATATTTAAGAACGTAGCTAACCGAAAATGGAGATCAAACAAAAGAAATCAGATCTAGAATAGAAATGGCAAGAAACACATTCATAAAATTGAAGAACTTACTTTGCAACCGCAACCTTAATCTAGAGATCCGCACAAGAATGCTATATTGTTACATTTTTCTACTTTACTATAAAGCATGGAAGCGTGGACAATAAAACAGTCTGAAATCAAAAAATTAAACTCCTTTGAGATGTGGTGCTACAGGAGAATCCACAGGATATCATAGAGTGAAAAAGTAACTAATATAGAGGTTAATTACTATTTAACTGGGAATAAGCCACAATTAAAGATAAAAACATGTTTATTGACGTTTCAATTTCCACTTCGGAAATCGTTCTCAAAATACAAACAGTAACAATTTACTGTTTGTATTTTGAGAACTTATTATTACTTTATTTTGAGAACGATTTCCGAAGTGGAAATTGAAACGTCAATAAACGTGTCTTTATCTTTAATTGTGGCTTATTCCCAGTTAAATAGTAATTAATTTAAAATGCCACAAGAAAATAGCTTCAAAACAATAATATAGAGGTGTTACAAAGAATGAAGAAAGAATGTAAAGTCATAAAAACTGTTAAAATTAGAAAGATTCAATATCTGGATCATATAATGAGGAGTGAGAAGTATGTATTACTTGGGTTAATTATGCAAGGGAAGAGAAACCCAGGATGCCGAAAAATATCCTGGCTAAGAAATTCGAGAAAGTGGTTCGGTTGCAGCTCATTAGAATTATTCAGAAGCGTTTCCAATAAAATTAAAATAGCGATGATGATTTCCAACCTCTGATAGGAGAAGGAACCTGAAGAAGAAGAAGTTACAAAGATGAAAACGCTAGGTGCTTTTATAAATATATCAAAAAGTAGGTATTTGATTAACACATGACTAACCCCAACACTGTACCCAAATTGTTATAGTTGTGCATATGTCTATAATATATTACCTGAATTTCTGGCATATCAAACTCAGCTTTCACTTTACAATTTTTCTCAAAAATAACTAGTTGAATTTCCTTGCTTCTTTTGACAGCCCAACATGCAATACATTGTCCTTGGCCCATAAATGCAACAGAGTCCTGAAGATTTGCATAAGGTTCTGACTGATTTAATGCCTCTAAGTCAGAATGAAATACTTTAAGAAACCGTTGATTGTCTAAGTAATAGTTTACTACAAATGATTCTCCATTTCCTCTCCAACATATTTGTGGGGAAGTGTCAGAAACTACTTCTGTGACTGAAACAATAGATTCTTTTATAATAAAAATAACAAATGATAAGAATGTTGGACATAACTTAGTGTCACAACTATTTTGGGAGCCCTAATAAGAAAAAAGCAAATGTTGAGATGTTTTTAAAGTTAGCTTATTTTTATTTATGGTGTAACATTATAACATTCCATCTTTCATCTTTATTTTGTAACTTCTCATTCATTATCAAATCTACTTAGTCACCTCTCGATTTTGCCTTCACAGCTTAAGCATTTTATAGCTTTTAATTGATAAATTTCCTTCTGTTTATTCTGCCATAATTTATTCCCTTATATTTTGCCTAATAACTTTTACATTTGCTACTGCTGCTTTCTATTACTAAGCCAATTCTAGTATCCTATACAATTTAACAAGTCCTCACATTAGCAGTTCAGTTCTGTATCTGTAGAATAGGGAGGGCAAGCTAAGTGCATCCTCCTAGGAGCTGTCGTCCTTAGCTCATTGTCCATCGTACCATTTCTAGGAAGGAATTCAAGTCACCAGGAGACATCTCTCTCAGGGGAGATCATCACCAGCAGTTCAGTTATGAACCATTCATTTTAGGGTTGGCAACAGGGAAAAGGTACACATATTGGTAAGATTTCAAAATGAACTTAAAGAAACAGGTTCTCAAAGAAATGTTATGAATGTAACGATGTCTTGTAACTTACATTAATATAAGTAAATAAACAAAAACCATTGATATTGTCTTACCTTCTGCTTCATTTTCAGTAGGTTTCTTAGCCTTTTTAGGACCTTGAAATTGTGTATTTATTGAACCCCAACCTGATAGTACTGGAATGGGAACTGCAGCATTCAAGTTGGATTTATCTCTCAGTTCAATAAATTGTTTTGTATATACATATGAAGTTACATCATAATTCTCATGAATAACAACAAGAAGTGTTGCTAATGGATTCCAAGCAAGATTAAGTATTGGACTATCAACTGTTAATGTGAACAGTATTTTTTTAGTTTCAACTTCATATAAAATCAGGTCAGTTTCAGTTGCTAAAAATACAATGTCAAACATTGACAAAAATTTTACATACTGCAAGGTGCCAGTTGCCTTTATTGTATGAATAGATCGATTTTCAGTAGATTTGTTATTTCTATATACTATTAACCGATTTTTTTCTATAGAACAGATCAAACCGTCTGAATAATCAAATGCAATTTGATTCTCTGAGTTTTCTAAACCTACTAAATGACACTGAAGTTCTTCTAGATTATTCATTTCAAATGCAACTTTTCTTCTAATAATAATAATGTGTGATTTTTTTGTTTTTCCTTCTTATTATAATAATAATAATATTTTACTTAGTTCATCTTGATTTTAACCTCACTATCATATGTCAACTTGACCATGTGTTGTCTTAATCTTCTTCTGATAATAGTTATTAAACATGGGCTTTACGGTCTTGTTCATAAATGGTATATCAGTTAGCCTGTAAATTATAAATTATTTGAAATCTAATAAAACTCAGCTACGCTGTACTTTTTCTTAAACGTGTTATACTATTATAGCTAAAGAAGTCATTTATATATCGACAATATAATATTATTGCGTGTAACAAAAAAAATACATATAAATAAATTAGTTTGAATAAAAGGTCTAATATTCGGAACCATTTAAAAGTAAACGAAAGTCAAGAAAAAACAGATGACATTCGAATAAAGTTATTTACAAAATTATTTATTTTTGTCAAAATTAACAAGTGGCATAATTTCAGTGCAAATATGAACTTTAAATTTTGGCGGCTGTACTGACAGCCAAGGTGATCGGAAGTATAGTAGAAAACCGGCCATGTTCTTTCGCCCTAAAAAATAATTCCATTTTGTAATAAGAATTATTTTATAAAACGACTATAGTCAGACTCACTTTCAGGTAAAAAAATCTTAACTTATTTGTGGCTATAAGATAGAGGTAGTTACAAGCCCCCTAGAAGCCATTAAGTGAATTGCAATACCTGGGCGGAGAGACAGTAGTCATATCACTTCAAACTTCAATTCAGCAGCCTTTTCCGTTTAGCTATACGCGGAGTGAGACATGTCTTTACCAGATCGTCGGTAAGTTTTGTTTTTTCATATGGTTATAAGTATTGTTCTTTAAAAACTCGTAAGTAACAATGTTTTATTACTTCCTATAAGTATATCTAAAATTTATTTAAACTGTTTGTTTGGTACTTCAACCATTTTCAGAAAATTTTTTCGGCGTGAATGTTCACTCTTCTGCCAACATGGCGCTTTGGAATTTGAAAGATATTTTAATATAAAACTACTAAAATTATCATACTACGTTTATTTAGAACTCAGCTTGTAAATCGTTTGTGATTAAAAGTAGAAATTTAGTTCAAAAATAGTTTTCTAGCATATATAGTATGTTATTTTCAAAATTGTTTTAATGTCCACGTGAAGTTTGTAGTGCACATTATATAACTAAAAACTGATTTTATTTGTAAAATTATTATTACTAGGCAATTTTCTCTCACACATATGTTCATATTTTGATAAATTAAACAGTTAGTGGAAGGTCTAAATTCTAAATGACTCATGCTACTTTGAAGGTTACAAATTCCAAAAACATTAATAGACTTCCAGTAGTTTGCTATTTTTTTCCATAGTTAGGTACATGCAATTAAAGTATGATAAGTATAGCACTTCTAACACTGTTATGTTTAATTTTTGTAATATCTAAAGGTATTTAACCCCGAACATTTAGTATAAATAAGAAACAAGATATCTTAGTGATACAACACAATTCTGTTAGATACTTCTTGTGATTTTACAAATTATTGATACTACTTTCTTTAACTAACATTGGGACGGCAAAGAACAGTTGTTTCAACACAAAAAGAATGTATGGCAAAATCAAGGACTTTTGAAGTAAATACTTATTTAATGTAAGCTTTCAAAGTTGACTCACTTTGTTGACAAAAACTAATTAAAATTTTTCCCCGATATAATTTTTTCCTTGACTTTTTTCATCTTGATTATCATTTCCAAGAATGAACTATTTTTTGAAGTATGTGTCAAATCCAGATAAGAGATCCAGATATGGCTATTTCATGTTATTATTGCTTAATCTTTTGTACAGTTTCACAGATTATCAATTATACAGGTATTTAGTTTTTGACATTGTTTCATATCTTTATAATACACATGTGCAACTCAAGAACTTGATTATCTGCAATTTTAAGTTTGTTATTGACAAATGGATTTAGTGTCTGCAGTCATGCAAACCCAAACAAATAGTTTGTGATACTTAAACTGCATTCATTGATTGAAAACACAATTTTTTTCGTCATACATTTTTGTATAATAATCATCTATTTGAGAATGAAAGAAAAGCTTTATATGATCAATTATGAGACACATTGAGTGATATTCCATCCAGAGGAGAGAATCATAATAAGAACCAATTTTAATGCACATTTGGGCCAATCCAAGATATAAAGCAATATATGGAGGACTAAGTTTTGGAACTAGAAGTGAAGATAGGGATGATATGAAAGACTACAACATAAGTTGCTTGTGTTGACATTCAAGAAAAAATTCATGAATATTTAGTGCAAGATTTCAGCAGAAAATGAAAGGAAGTCTTTTATACAAGCACTAATTTCATCATGTCAGCAGCATCACCTTAGAGTTGGCCCAGCCGGACAATGGCTGACATTATTGCTCGAATATCATGTTCCTAACACAGTTTGGAGGAATATGACCAGTATTATTAGAGATACTGCTATTGAAATAGTTTGAAAAACCTCAAAAAAAGTTTGATGATAAAGAGACCTTCTGGTTGTCAAACAAACAACATTGGTAAAAAATATGGTATAAAGTCATCAAAAAGGAAGTGAAACTAGCAAAAGCAGAAGCATATTTATATAAATCTATATGATCTACTCAATATTAGGGACGGTGAGGCAAATAAATATATATAAAATATCGAAACTTTCTAATTTAATGCATCAGGATGAAAATAACAAAATACTAGTTTATGAAAAGGGCGTCAAAAATTAAAGGAAAAGTGCCAATTGATCTAAGAGAGGAATGGTCACATTAACAAAGAAGAAAGTGGGACAAATGGAGAAGCAGTCTACTTGTTTACAAAAACTAGGGAAATATATAACAATGCACAAACTACAGGGTCATAAAATTGTTTAATCACACCATGTAAATACAGGAGAGAGTAATTAATGTATATGTGAAGAAACTGAAATATCCAATAATCAGTTTGGTTTTATTCAAGGTAGATCAACAGATACAATTTTCACTATAAAATTATCAAACACGATTTGATTCATATTTTATATTATTTTATTTTAATTGAATTGTTATTTTATTTGGTTTTATTTTACTAAGAAATACACATGGACTGCATTTACTCTATGTAGCCCATGATAAGAAAGCTATGTTTGCAATATAGGAATAAATAAAATGGCTATATAGTATTCACTGATCTTGAGAAAACATCCCAGAGTTCCTTGAGAAATTATATAGTGGTTGCTCAATAAGAAAGCAATTCTCAGTGAGTTTGTGAAGATTGTGTGAAAGAGGATAGGTGTGGGAGCCCTTATTTATTTGTATTAGTGTTAGATAAGATAACAGAGAAACTGTAGAATATCATTCTGTAGTGTTTAATGTATGGTGACGATGTATTGTTAATAGCAAGTAGTGGGAAGGATTCAGAACAAAAACTGGAACAGTAGTGACAAGCTTTGCGGAAAATTTTAAAACTTAGTAGAAAAAAAGCAGTATGGAGTTACTACAAACAAAATGATAACTTTGGTTGGTGAGATGATCATGAAAACATTAAAATATAAGGAGAATTAGAAGTAGTTAAAAAGATCATTTATAAAACAAGCAAAGAAGAGAGGCCTAAGCAATTAAAAGGCCAAAACTGATAAATTGTTTGTGTATTAAATCATGGCCAGCCCATCAAACAAAAAGACAGAAGGGGGAATGTAAAGATAATGGGGGCAAAAATTACAGGAAGTGCCATTTTGAGAGGCCACATTAAACAAGGAAAGAGAGTGTCTTTCGAAATCAAATTTAGTTGGGTTATGATATTGTTTGTCCCAGCTGTCACATGTGAAAGTTTATATTTAAGTTTTTTAACAATTGTGTCACATTTTAGACTATTATCGTTATTATTTAATTAAAAGTGTTTCGTCTAAGACACATTCTGAAAAATATTTAATGCTTAATAATTAATGCTAGTTTAGAGTTCCAGAAAGCTAAAGACTGGTTTTCTATGAATAGGTTGGTTTTAAATCAAAATAAAACAGATCTTCTTTTGTTTAAGACAAATTATGCACATTCAGATATGCCAAACAGTATTATTGTAAATAATGACACTTTAAATATTAGCAGCAGTACCAAATTTTTAGGATTATATATTGATAGTTTTTTATGTTGGGATAAACATGTTGACCAGTTATGTATGTCTTTGAGTAAAGTGATTTACAGCTTTAGAGTTCTAAAAAAATACATGAATAGTAACTCATTAAAAACAGTGTATCATGCTAATTTTGAAGCAAAATTTAGATATGGTCTAATAAATTTTGGACACAGTAGGGACATAAATAATGTATTTCTGGTTCAGAAAAAAATAATCAGAGTTATGTTTGACTTAAAAAGTAGGGAATCATGTAGAGGGCATTTTAGGAGTAATAATATTTTAACAGTTTATGCTGTATTTATTCAAGAATGCTTACTGTTTCTATATAAAAATAAAATACTATTTAGGAACTTTGAGCCCAATAGTATAGTAAATAATAGGTTATATAATTATAAAATTCCAATACACAGGTTAAGTATAACAGAAAAAAACGCTCTTTATTGCTGCATCAAATTGTTTAATAAACTGCGTGAACCTATTAAAAGGGAGGAAAGATTAAGTTTGTATAAACATCAAATATTTAAATTACTGGTAGCTCTTGAGCCATATTCTGTGGAGGACTATTTGCATATGTAACGGTTAGGAATAAGTAAATAATATTTTCGTTTGTGACACTGTTTTTTTTAAATAATTTTATGTTCACTGAATGTATATTGTTTTCTAAAAATAAAGATATTGTTATGTTATGTTCTGTTATGTTATATTTTATAGCTACTGTTTTATGACTTTATAAAAAAAAAAACATGAAATATTTGCCTAATTAAAATAATCATTAAAATTTTCAAACTGTACTAATTCCATTAGATAAATCAGAACTCCTACACCACTGTATGATTATTGTGAAGTGTCATAGAAATTAAATTTGGTGCTTTTGCATTTCCGGATATGTCTGCCATTAAGAGGCTACTTTTATGAATTTTGGTCTCCTTTCAAAGTTTTTTGCATAATCTCTGAAAATTGTGTCCATGTATTATTTATGACAGCTACCTATTAAATGAAAACATAGAAGTTTGTAAGAGTTGATCTATCAGGTGGAGAACCATGTTTATATTGAGTAAAAGGTGTATTAAAATTTTCTATATAGTGTATATAAAACATTCAAATATGTTTGCCAAAGAACTTAAGACAGTGATTGGCCTGTGATTCTTCCCATCCCATATTGCCAGACTTAAAAAAACAGGAAGTGTGATGGTATCTTTTAATTCTCTTTGATATGTTAGTTTTAAACCTTCAGTGATTTGCAAGTTCAGTACATGATAAATACAAATATTGCAACTAAGTAAGCAATAAATGATATAGATATAATTCCATTCACCATCATGGAGAGCTACTTGAGACAAACATACAATTTACAAATTAGCAATAATATCAATTAACAAAATCTTTGTTACTGACTTTTGAATAGATTATTTAATATTTGGATAAATTTTGTCATATGATTAGTTAATCAGGTGGTTACTCAGGTTAATCAGCACTTATGTGGAGTTCTATGAAATCTATTATTTTTTTTATATGCTTTTTATCAAAAAACTTATTTTAAGTATGGGTTCTAGTCTAGCATTCTATTTTTAAAGTTCCAAGAAGTAAACAAAGATGCGAATGAGAAAGAGTATGTAAGAAAAAAAATTAACAATTTTAGAACATCCTATAAAAGAGAATTAAAATTAGCAGTGCAGTCCAGTAAATCGGGTGCAGGGACAGACGAGATTTATTTTGCACCAAAATCTTGGATTCTTTGCACCAGAATCTACGTTTTATTTTAGTTTTCTTTTTACGCTTAGTTATACACAAAGTAAGAGATGCTAAAATGATTGTTTGATTTGATATGGTCGAGAACCGAAGAAATACTGCGGCACAGTATGTTGTGTGGGCGCACCAGATATACCAACAAATTGAACAACACCTCTGTCCGATTATGTTGAACCACACTGTTGTACCGTGAGTGGCCAGCTTTAGGAAGCGATAGGTGGTTTGACCACCTATGAATGAGTTCTTAAATTAGTTCAGAATTCAGCAGCCTGCTGAAGTATTGGATTTTTATAATATAATTATTTGACAACCTTTTGTTGGCCAACCACCTACAGCAGAATTGAGCCGAAATACATAATATTTTGTGTGTTCCGAATTTATTTAGTTCAATCTGTATATCTTTTAAAATAGCCCCATTTAAACAAAGTAGACAATTGTACTCTAAATAAAAAGTAATATATTTTATCCAGTTCCAAGTCAACATCAAGAAAATTGGTTCATCCATCCTAAAATGGTTTTCCAAAAAAGAATAGACAAAAAAATTCATGTCTTTGAAAATTAATATGTTTGAAAAATATCAGAGTCAATATAAAAGGTGAATTCTTTATTATAGTCAGGAGTTTCAAAATAAGTGTTAATGTTGACTACAATAATGATTTATACTCCACTTCTGTTGCTAATATTTGCATAAGGGTTTCTTTAAATGTTTATTGCACAAATAAAATTAATTGCATTCCAGTGAATACCTATAGAAGAGAGAATTTTTACAGGAAGGTCTGAAAAGCATCTGTTATATTGAGAAATTTTTTAAAATTCACTAAATTTTAAAATACTTATATTGAAATAGTTATGAGAACACCTATTATCCCAAAATTCAACAAGGTTCTTCCTACATTAAGAAGAGATTATATACCAAGTTTGAAGACTATAGTACTTTTCCTTGGAAGAAAAAGAAAAGGTATAAGAATATCTGAAGAAGACCTAACAATCCAAATTCAATATAGTGTTCTTATTTACACCAAAAGGAATCCATGTACCTACAAAGTTTCACTACTTTTTGACTTTTTTGAATAAAAGAAAAGAGACCTTCTATTCCATAATCAATGGGATTTTTCTTTGTATCAAGAAAAATATATTTACAAAGTTTCTGCACCGTAGAACTTTTCATTGTAAGAAAACCAAAAGACACAAGCTTCTGGGAAGATAAGTGTCCAGTTGAGACCAATCGAAGGTGGAAGGTGAAGTAGCATACCCGGTACTCTTACAAGTGTTTAATGTATTCATACAAATTATGTATTTAATAGTAGTTAAAAATAGGCCATAAAATTTTAGTTGCTTATATATTAACATATCTGAAGTAATTTTTTGTAACCTTGGTTTTTTTTTTGTAAGTTTTGTTACACCTTTTAAAGGTGACATTGATGTCCAAACGAAAACAGAGGCCACATAATGCTTAATAAAATTAATACCAGTTATGCCATTATTTGTGATATATCTGAAGTTCAGGTTCTCTCTGGAATTGATGAGAGAATTCTATCATGGTTAGCTTAAATGTAAATGAAACATAAACAGTGAATCTATATTAAATTTTTCAAATTCAAAAGTAGTTTACAGTTGTTCATAAAAATGTACAGTACCAATTTCTTCTATTAAAGTGAATTATGAAAAAATAAAGTCTTAAATATATTTTTTTGTTAATAGTGAAGAGTGGGACAAGAATGGCCCAGCTAATGAAGATAGCCAGCCCCAAGGCTATGATGGCCCACCAGGTATGGAGCCTGATGGCATTATTGAATCCAACTGGGAAGAGGTGGTTGATAATTTCGATGACATGAACCTAAAAGAAGAACTTTTAAGAGGAATTTATGCCTATGGTTTTGAAAAACCTTCTGCTATTCAACAGAGAGCAATCATTCCTTGTGTAAAGGGACATGATGTTATTGCTCAGGCTCAGTCAGGTAATTATACAAATTTTGGTTGTAGTTGTACTCTAGATATTATTTATGTCTAGTTTAGACTTCTTATCATTTAAATTAGTTCATGTGTTTAAGCTATTAAATTTCAGATTAGCACCACAAAATTATCATTCTTCATCCACATGCCATTACAATGATAAGATTACAGCACATTCTTGCTACATTAATTACTTTTTGACTGAATCAATTGTTTTGGGAGAGTTTTTCATTTGGTATATTAAGTTTAATCAAACAAAAATAAATTACACCTGATATGTTATCAAAACCTTTTATAGTTTCTTTCTTCTTTTGGTTATAGTGAGTTTCTTGTTTAAGGTGTTCCATGTCATTCTAGATCCATCCCTATAATTGGAGTTCATATAATTTTTGTAGCAGAATAACTAATATGCTGCCTTCTTATGTAAATTATTTGAAAAATCCAAATACTTAGCTTGTTAGGTTGGTGAATTACTGCTTTGAGCATATTTTTGTAGTTCTGTGATTTTTTAGAGAACTGTAGTACTTGTGCTGCAATAAACACTGGCAAATTAACTAGTCATAAGAATGTGTTATATAGGGAGATAAATCAACTCTTTCTACACAAGCAAAAATTTTATTCTGGTGTTACATTCTTCTTTAATGTTTTATGATTTTTTGCTACCAATCATTGAAAATTAATCATATTAACTAAAAGGTACCAAAGTTTAACTTTCCATTTTGTATATTTCAGGTACTGGAAAGACTGCAACATTCTCCATCTCTATTTTACAACAAATTGACACGTCAGTGAGGGAGTGCCAAGCACTTATATTGGCACCAACTCGTGAATTGGCTCAACAAATCCAAAAAGTAGTAATTGCCCTAGGAGATTTCATGTCAGCTCAGTGTCATGCATGTATTGGTGGCACCAATGTACGAGAAGACATAAGAAAACTTGAAACTGGAGTGCATGTTGTAGTTGGTACACCTGGTAGAGTTTATGATATGATAACACGGAGGGCCCTAAGGCCGACCCACATTAAAATGTTTGTCTTGGATGAAGCTGACGAGATGTTGTCAAGAGGTTTTAAAGATCAAATTCATGATGTGTTTAAAATGTTAAACACTGACGTACAGGTATACATTTTTTAATTTATATATTTGTTTACTTTTTGTAATATTGAAATCAATGTCATTGGAATTTAGTTAGTTTTAGCTGTAAAAATATTTTGATATTAATATCACTTTAATGCTTTTTCATTATAATCATAGTGCTGCTACCCTTAAAAGGTCTCAAGCTGTTCTCTTATTCCCACTGGCTGAGCTGTTAAAATCTTTTTCATCATGTTCAATTCTGGGGCCCAGAATACATGTTCTGGCAACTGTAAATTTTCAGTTTCTCATGATTATAGTGGTAATATCTTCCACCAAACTTATGCTATTTAAGAGCCCAAATTGAGTACAAATTATATAGATTTCATTATACCATCTTAAAAAATATACAAAATATTGATCAATGTAATCTTTCTCTGTAAAATGAAACAATTTGATATTTGTAAAATTTAAGCAAACATCTGTCTATTGATATTTTTTTTGGGAGCATATGAAGTTGCATGGAGCAAATTTAAGACTATTTTGAATCCAACAACATTTTAATAATTACATAAACATATATTTTATTATTTACAATTTTCCCACTTCTAATTTATTTAACTGTGTCAATAGGTAATCTTACTTTCGGCTACCATGCCAAATGATGTGCTAGACGTGACAAAATCCTTTATGAGGAGTCCTGTTCGGATACTTGTCAAAAAAGAGGAACTTACCTTAGAAGGTATCAAACAATTTTATGTGTATGTAGAAAAGGAAGATTGGAAATTAGAGACATTATGCGATCTCTATGATACTCTTTCGATTACGCAGGCTGTAATCTTTTGCAATACCCGTCGCAAGGTAAATGTTATATTGTGTATTTTTTTTCATTCTGTACTAGTAAATATGTTTTTATATTATTTTTTTTTTAATACAATCAAATGTCTTAGAATCTGCTTTTCTACAATGAAGATCTGGATGTATTTTTTAAACTAAGATCGCTAGTTCAGTTAGTAGTATACTTACAACTTACTCATTGATCTAAATTAATTGCCTTACTTTTTTTGTAAATTTACAATATACCTCTAGGTTTCCTTCAGTAATACCTGCGATTTTTTAAAATTGCTGTTAGTTTTCTACTATATAAAACATGTGGCATTTACTGTGAAATGTGGTGCAAAATGGAACATTTTACAGAAAATTCAATGTTCCTTTTTACTGGGATGCATTAGTTATGATTCAACCATCACTTTCAATGAACGAAAAATATACAGATTTTTTACATTTTGATCTAATTTTCTTGTGGTCTCTTCTTAAAATCATATAGCTAATTCTGATAAAAGAATCATGTTGAGTCAGGTACTAAATAAATTAGAAATATAAATTTGTATATGATTAAATACCTATTGTTTTTTTTATATAAACAAAAGCCAAAGAAAAACACATTTTTTCATACAATTTTTGAATTATTTTTAGGGAAATTATCGTATGTGGATCTTAAGATCTAATAAATTTTTAACAATAATATTTGAATGAATGCTTTCACATACATTTTTTAATTATCTTTGAAGCTAGAAGTTTCAAGAATCCGTGACACTTTTTTTTTAAATTCATCTAGAAATATTACCTGACAAAGAACAATTATTTAAAACATTTGGCCAATGGACCGCAGGAGTGTGACGTCACATTGTCATTATTACTTTCCAAACAAACGTTGAAATGTCAAATCTCAAGACTTTTTAATTCCTATAAAGTTAACATTTTGCTTCCTCTGCTGCTTTTTCTTGTAAGTATAGTGTTTTTACGATAATACCGTCATAATTCAGAGTTCTATTTCTATGAAATATGGTTTAAAAGTTTAATTAAAGAAATTTTAACCTTACTTTATTGATACTTTCATTTTATTCCTATTAGCATAAAACAATGTGCTTTATTATTTACATAACCTTGTAAAATTGTTGTAGTAACTATTAGAATACTTAAATATTGCAAAAAGCGGAAAGATTCTATAAAATAAATGAAAAAATAACGAAAAATACAAATTATCCACACTAAACAACGTTTGTTTGGAAAGTGAAACTGGCAGATGTCAATCAAATCTACGTCATCACTCCTGTGGTCCATTGGAAAATCATTGGAACATTACTAATATAAACTATTTTAATTTAATAAGTCATGTAGAACAATTGCAAAACATTTCGTATTTAAAAAAGTACAAAAATAAGAGCAGTTACAAATGATGATATTGTCAATAAGGTTTCGTATATTTGAATGAAAATTTATATGAATTATTATCTTGGCAGTCTGATAAAATGATTATTAATTTAAATGTTTTTAGTAAATTTTGCCAATATTTATCACGAATTATTTATTTGTCTTTAGGTCGATTGGTTAACAGAAAATATGCACAAGAGGGACTTCACTGTTTCTGCTATGCATGGTGATATGGAACAAAGAGAACGTGACGTTATTATGCGTCAGTTCAGGACAGGATCATCTAGGGTTTTAATAACCACTGATCTGTTAGCGAGAGGTATAGATGTACAGCAAGTTTCCCTAGTTATTAATTATGATTTGCCTTCTAATAGAGAAAATTACATTCACAGGTTAGTATCACTTTACATTAAATATTACATTGAGTAATTTGTAATAAGCCAAGTTTTCTATAAAACTTAAGGGTTTATAATGTATTGTGAATTTATAATTACTTAAGTCTTTTCCTTTACCATAAATTTCAGATAAAAGTAAAATATCGTTTCCAATAGCTTGAATAGGTTAGAAACTCTTTACAGATCTGCTTTATTAAATAATAATTACCTGTTTAAAGTTTTCTAAACTTAAATGTAATAATTATTATACTAAAGGCATAAATATATGAAAACAAGAAAACAGGTTTACTTTTACACCAAGAGAAACATTTCTACAAAGTTTCAAGACTAGAGCGACTTTGCAGCAGAAGGGTATAGAGAAATATATCTACAAATAAGATATGAGGTTATGTGATCAAAAGAGGCCCGGATGAAACAGATGTCGTGAGATGAAAGAACTACAAAGAACATATTACATAAAGAACTTAACATTTACTCAGAAATAATTTTTTAATGAAGCATTGGAAGGGCAATGTGGAGTTCGAATCAGGGGAGAAACTATTAACAACATCAGATATGCAGATGACACTTTGATCATGGCTGAAAGTATCGAAGATCTTCAATTCCATGTATATTGAGTCACCAGAGAATGCTCTAATATCGGACTAAGCATACATACAACAAAGACAAAGTTACTTGTGGTTAATAAACAAGACCTCGGCGCTATACAACTAATTGTCAATAATGAACCGATAACAAAAGCTAACCATTTTAAATACCTAGGATGTTGGATAAATGAGACACTAAATCCGAAATAAGAAATTAAAACTCATACAGAAATTGCAAGAGGAGCATTTATGAATCCTTCGAGATGTGGTTATATCGTAGAATGCTCAGAATATCATGGGTTCAACACATTTCAAACAGAGAAGTCTTGAACAGAGTAGGTCAAGGTGAAGGTGATTTAATAAAGATGATAAAAAAGAGAAAACTCGAATATCTGGGGCATATAATGAGAGGAAGCATATACAGAATAATGCAGTTAATACTCAACAGAAAGATTGACATAAAAAGAGGAATTGGTAGGGAGAAATACTCATGGCTCCGAAACCTTTGTCCTGGCTTATCAGCAAATGAATTATTACATGCCGCCCAAGATCGAGAACGATATCGGAAGAAGAAGAAGCAGAAGGAAGCTAATAATGGTTTTTTATACTAGGAATTACTATCAAGAATACAGAAATCTTTCGTGAGAAAACTGTATAAGAATTAAGAGAAAGCCTGACAGCTCCCAGTTTATTAATAAGGTTTTTTTTGGTACTCTCGGAGGAACCTGTTTTTTTCTTCAAAAAATAAAATATTAAAAAAGAAAACTGTAAAATGATTCAATTATTACATTTTTCATGCCATATCTTGGCAGGTATACAATAATATATATAAAGTATTTGTAGTTTATTCATGATGACACTTTTCCACCAAGATCGCTGAGAGTGCTGATGTTAGCATTAATTGAGTCTGATGTTTTCAAATAAATATAATTTTTAAAGTAAATATATACATATATTACTCGGATACTTTTTTTTGCAGGATTGGTCGAGGTGGTAGATTTGGTCGTAAAGGTGTAGCAATAAATTTCGTAACTGACGATGATAAACGCACGCTTAAGGATATCGAGCAGTTTTACAATACAAAGATAGATGAAATGCCGATGAATGTTGCTGATCTCATATAAAAACGAGGTTATAAAGAGTGTTGGTGTGTTACTACGACGTCTCCTGAAGGTTCTCTGGTGTGAGTATTAGCTTTCTATGCTAAATCTGCGACATATATATGCGAATATTGTGCGCTGCGCCATCACGTTTCTTTAGGACAACGCCGTTCAAGGCACGCTGCCCCTCGTTAATCATCCACGAACTCTTTGAGTGTCAATTTTTAAATATATTTAATTGTTTCGGTTTAATCTCTAGTGTATTTTTAATTTTTTGATATACATATAGTTAGTGTTTATCATTCCGGAGACGTGTGGCTGTATGGAGGCCAGAGGGCCTCTCTATGTGAGGGGTACCGACGGTATGTGTGTTGTGATTTTCTCCACACAGTTTGTTCGTCTCTGTAAGGGTTTAGTTGGTATCTGGAAAGGTTATTATAATCGTAAAAGATGTAGAAGGAAATTCTGGATTATCACATAGACTTTTTGTACATTAAGACTTAATAAAAGTGGTGATAAAAGTTGTTGCCTTTTCTTTGTTTTATTATAACTGGTGTGTCTAAAGATTTGTTGAATCATGAATCTGCGTAAGTCCTGTTTAAAGGAGACTCACAGGTGAGTAATAGTACTGTTAGTTTCTTTCTGTGTTAAATTTGTTTGTGTAACAGTCTCAGTTAAAATGTATTAAGTGTTAACACAAAATGCAAAAAGAAACACTAACAATATAGTTGATAGTTTATTAAAATTTTCTGCAGTGATTGTTCATTCATTTTGGCAAGTTTCCTCCAATTTCTGTAAAAGTAACATGCAAATGGGAGCCTTTAAGCTACCTTAAACTAGTTCGTTAATGTATTGAATATGCTTCAGCCTGTAAAACAAACACTAGCTGTCGTGCACTGTGCTTCATGGTTTTTGTCAGCTTTTCTTGCAATCACTCTTGCGAACTCATCTTAGTTTGATACAAACTGCAGCAGTACATATTTCTGTCTGTAGGATTTTTCTTTGCAATAAGCTTTTTAGTTTCAGACTGCTGCAAATTCAATATTATATATTACATCATTCTCTCTTGGTAGTCATGAACGCATCTAGGGCATGTTCAATTTGAATCTATTTCAAACTTCCTGGTTTTTTTCTCTCACTGATAATTAATTTAGTCATGATTATTCTTAGAAAGAAATTTTAGAGTTTTACATACTGAAAAGACGAAAGTATTCACAGAGCTTGTAAAGAAATAAATTTTATATAATGTTCATACCAGGCACTAGACATGAATGTCTGTTTTTCTCTGTCTCTTTTTCCACATTATATGTTTTGATCAATATCGGATTGTGATTTGTAATTAATACAAAAGTACTAAATAAGATGAAAATAGCTGCATCAACCTTATCAAAGATCTGCATTTGTTTGATTGTAAGTCGCTATTTAAGTAATAAATGATGCTTCTAATTCAACATTTCTTTAGATACACACTTAGATATAGCTGTTCATGTAGACTGTAGACCTCTCCAAGAACCAAAACCCTGTTTAGTAAATTTAAAAGGTGAATTTCAATTAAATGCAATAAACTCTAGAGAAGTTTAAAGATTTAGCTTTGTTTTGACGTATCATTAAATCATAAAATATATTTAGAATATAAATTCTTTGACCTTCTCTTTTTGTTTTAAAAAAAATTCAATGTTTTTAATTTTTGCAGGCGTCATCAATCCTGTGGACACCAAAATTTGGAAATAAAGATCTAATTTCCATTTTAAATTACAATTCAGTGGTTTTGCTTCTTATTTAAAACCCATTTTCCATACTCCATTTTCCTATTTTTACAATTTTTAATTTATTTCGTAATTTTTAACTCATAAAATAAATTTATTTTTATTTAAGATCCGGCTTTAATTTCCTGAGATTACCTTTGAATTTTAAAATGTGCAATCTTTATGATGTAAGAGTAAAGCCAAATTAAAAAGATAGATATCCATTTGCAATGTTCTCAACACTTTACTGACAACAATCACAATTCTTAACCGTCCTACAGATCAAGTCACAACATCAGATCAACACGTACACAATTACGTGCGTTTGCCTATTTTACTATTTGATATGTGCAACAATAAGTTGTTTATAGTGACTTTATTATATCTACCTCATGAGGCTGAGAAACGGTAAAGCTGCTGTTTAATTTAAAGAATTTCAATTGATAGCAAACCTTTCTAAATCGGGTGGTCAAGGTTTGATTATGACCTTTCAAAAGTTGATGTTTGATATGTGTGACAATGAGGGAATGGAGAGTAGGCGATACCGTGCATGAATTGCAAGTTTACTACTGATATCTGGAAAGTTGTCCATATATACAAGAGTATGGATATCACACTGGTAGAAGTGTTCAACATTTACAACAACAAGTGATACAACAGTATCACATGTAAGATCAAATCTTACATGTTGGCAATTGAAACTTGTTTGGGAATGTGGTGTACACCTGCACATGCTGTTTATAGACTTCCATAAGATATTTGATTACTTGATAATAAGATACTGGTATATAAAATGATAAAACCATTTGATAACTTCAATGGTGAAGTGATCCGGCGAATACGAGGAGGCTTATGGAAGAAGCCAAACCCCACAGAGTTTACATTTTGTAAGGATTTAAGAAGATACATTAACACCTTGACGGACACCTAAGTTATTTAAAAATAGTCAATTTGTACAGTGTCCTTTTTGTCGATATTATTACCATAATATATTACGATAATTTACCAGATGGGTAACAGATTGGAAGATATAGATAGGTATTCTACGACAGTGGATTACGTGTTACCATGTATTTATATTATAAATATAACGCGGTACAGCGTTCTGCCACGATATTAGATTTTGTTAAGGACGCTTCACAGCGTTCTGTCACAACACAATTTTAAAAAAAGACGCTGCACAGCGTCTCTGTCCATCAACGTGTTAAATATTACAAGAATTCAAACGATCTTTTTAAATTTTTTCTTAAATTGTGTTTTCATCAAATTTTCCTATGTATTTTTTGGTTTATTTGAAATGAACATATTTATTTTATGTCAACGACTAGAATTGGTGTAATGTTCGGTATGTCAACCACTGCAAAGTTTAGCATTAGCAAGATTAACTCAATAAATGAGAATATTTGTTAAAACTGTTCGAGCTGTTAATTATTTCTCGACGTTTCTGGCATCTTCTGGAGATGTTACTGCTTCGCTTGTAAGCTGAAACTGACGCGGCGTTGTTCATAAATATGGCCACCGTAGTACAATGCGGCGTCAATTTCAGTTTACAAACGAAGCAGTAACATCTCCAGAAGATGCCAACCCCTAGTGATGGATAAACGTTGAGAACTAATCTCAGAAGACAACAGCCCGAACAAATAGTTTAACAAGTTAGACAATGGATGTGAAATCCTAATGCAAATGAGAATAGAAATCATTTTCCTGCAGTGGAAGTAATATTTGTCATACCTTTTGTATCGTTAACAATAAAAAAGATAAGTTGATACTGTCACTGTGCTTGTTATGTGTTCTTCAGTTTAAATTTTATTACTTTGGCAGTTACAGTGGAAGGTCTCAAATTGAAATAAGTTTCTGTAAGTAGAATTATACATATAATATACTGCATGCTGTAAAATTTAATAAAGGCAAAAGTTTCATTAAAAAAAGCATGAATAATTGATATTTATACATACATATAAGTACGTCCAAAGGAACAAACTAACAACATAGATTTTAAAGACAGAATCATAAGAAAAAAAAAACAATAAAAACATGTTTAAATTCAAATCCAAAATCGTGAAAGTGGAAAAGAAAGTCATCTATGAACTACAGTGGTACCTCGACATAAGAGTGTAATTCGTTTATAATCTTGCTCGTATGTCAAACAATTTTCCCCATTGAAATTAACTGAAATGTCATTAATCCGTTCGTCCCCAAAAAAACACGTTAGGTGTTATAAATAAGAAAAATGTATTTAAAAGAAACATTTATTTATAAGTAACACAAAATACATACATATTCTGTAATAAAAAGTAAAGTGCTCACGGAAGCGCTTAATTTTCGTCACACTTTGCTCATTTTCATCTCCACATCGGTTAAAAAAACTGCCCAAGGAATTTTGTTTCTTCCTCCCTTTCAAAATATTGTGGAAATGTGTTAGGCAAGTTTCGTTTAACAACACCGATGCACGACCAGGTGTAACTTTTTCGGGGTGATTTTTATCCACGAACTCTGCACACATTCCCAGGATCTCCTTTATATACCTTTTAGAGACAACGTCTTCCAATTCTGGCTTCTCTTCAAAACTAATATTTCGTTGAACCACCGTTTGCTGCTGCGAATGTAGTTTGTCCTAACTCCTCAGTTGTCGGCTCCTGAGACTGTTCCTTGACAAGTTCGTTCACATCTCTTTCATTCACCTCCAGACCCATGGAGTTTCCAAGAGAAACAATCTCATCTACCACAAGTAGGCATATTACCATGTTAAACTCTCAAAGGGTAAGGTTTGTGTTCTCATTCACCTCGTAGCAGCGCCGAAAAATGTGCTTGGTATAAAACTTCTTAAAATTAGAATCTCTTGCTGATCCATGGGCGGCTGCAATATAGGAGTGGTGTTAACTGGTAGGTAGAGAATCTTTATAAACTTGAACCCTTGGAGTAAATCATCTTCGAGATTTGGTGGGCGAGAAGGGGCATTATCGAGGACAAGAAGGATTTGCATGGGTAGGTTGTTTTGCTGAAGATATTTTTTAACGGAAGGGGCGAACACCAGATTTATCCACTTCACAGAGAATTTCCTGGTGACCCACGCCTTTGGATTTGCCCTCCACATAACTGGCAGTTATGTGGAGGTTGTGATTTTTGACGTACGTATTACTTTTTCCAGAGCTATTGAGCTATATTGAATAGTATACAGGAGAGTGGGTCTCCCTGACATTATTTGTTTTAAAAGGTTCAGAGAGTTCCCCTGGATTCGTACTCTGTATTCAACATTTTCAAGGGTTAGTTTGGTTAGACTTACCAACTGATTTGGTACTCCCAGGTCTATCATTGCTCTAAACAATTCTCTTCTATTTACAGAGTCGTAGGCTGCCTTGTAGTCTATAAATATGTGGTGCGTGTCTACACCGTATTCCAGTGTTTTCTCTAGAATTTGTCTCAGGGTTGAAATCTGATGAATAGTATATTGGAGAATACTTTCTACGCTGCATTTAGGAGCGTAATTCCTCGATAGTTAGAGCATTCAAAGATATCTCCCTTTTTGTGTATGGTGCAAAGTATTCCAATAATTGGGAAGGGACTTCTGTATCCATATTTCTTTTATAAGCTACTGTAGTGCTATTATAACTGGCAGTTTTTCTTTTAAAATCTTTGTGACTTAGGGCTCTGAAATTTTCTGAATGGTACACTAGAAGAAGTTTGATTTAACAGTCGCCGCTCACATTGGCCCAAGTAGTAGAGTTAATCTTCTATAGGTTTGTGGCATCGTTTTCTCGAGGTAGGTGATTTGTGTCATCTACCGCCATGCAAGTCCTATTCGGCATCTTTTTCCAGAAAGGCCCTGTCTCGTCACAGTTGAAGACTTGCTGGGGGATGTATCAGTTCGGAAAACGTTTTGATGTAAACCTCAGCTGCTTCACATCCGAACTTGCTGCCTCACCATGCCTGACGACGAAGTGAATGCCGGTCATTTTTCTAGTCAAACCAGCCCCGACTGGCTTTAAACGAGTTTTCCGATTCATCATTTGTGAAAGTGTATAGGATCTGCTTCTGCAAATCTTCGTAAATCGTTCGTGCCTTCTCACATATGATGTTTTGTGTTAAGGTTCCTCCTTGAAGCTACTTCTCTGTCATCCACACCATTAGTAGTTTCTCCATCTTTTCATAGAGAGAAGTCCGGAGCTTAGAAATTATTTTAACGCCCTTAGCTGGCATTATACCATTTATCACCTTCCGTTTAAGTACAGTACATATCATTTTACGCCCCTTATAAATTCAAGTTTTTTTTTTATTTAATTAAATGTTTGTCATCAATTATAGGAATCTTAAAATACATTAGAAGAGATATCCTGGAAGAAACCATTAATTTAAAAGTTAACTATTACCTACTAGATGGCTGTATGAAAAGATCGCTAAGCTGTGTTCCAAAAATTATAAGTAAAAAAGAAATTTATATAATTATGTATATATGGAATTAAGCTACAATGAAATTCAATGACAATCTTTTAATTAATAATTGTTTAAAATAAACTCTTTTGAAAAAGAGATTTCATATCAATAGCACATAATAAACAAGTGTTTATTATTCTGTGTCAATACATAGAATTCATACTTACAAAAAATGACAGTATCCATGTTGTCTATTTTACTAAATTTATTTATTAATACAGAAATTCAGTTTTGAATAAAATTGAAATAAACATTTATAATTAATACAATATTGCTAAAATATTTTATATAATAATAATTATTGTGTAATGTTTAAAATATGCCATGAATTCAATGTTCTGACAGAAGTGAACAGAATATATTTGATAATTTTTTTATTCTAAAGATAATTAAAGTATGTACAAGTAAATAAAAAACAGTTTATTTTGATCAGTATATTAGCTATGTATTCAGTATGCAACAGTATTGTTTTATGTCTATTTGATATAATTGTGTCTTGACTCTTTTTCTTATTGTCTAATTTAAAAACAAACTGATAAAATTTAATAATAAATAATTATGATAATTATTGAATAATATTTTAAGTGTGTTTTAAAATAAAAGTTTGATGACCATCTGTTTTATTCCTACTATATAAAAAATTTGACGGTGTGAGAAGAAACTGTTAGAAGGTCAACATGTCAACATAACCATTGTCATCGCTACTTATCTGTTATCAAAATGAATTAAGAGTCTGGAGAAATATTTAGTAAATTTTTATTTATACATTTATTAATTTACAGAAATCAATAAAAGTTAGAATATTTTAACAAAATTCCAAATCTATTATGACGTCATTACTAACGGAACGCGGCTTCTTTTCTTGATAAGCTGTTGGCGACATTGATCCTTTTAAAGCGCAGTCGCACTTGTCTCTTAGAGCTTCCGCTGCCACTACAAATCTTCCTTGGTAGACAAAAGTATTCGGCTTCAGTTCGTCGTGCGGCAACTGCTCTAATTGCACCAATTTTATTAGTGAGTAGAACCGTGTGTGGAGTGATTTTTTAAATTTACAACAATATGAGCTGGCAGGATTACGTAGACAAACAGCTCTTGGCTTCAAAATGCGTTACGAAAGCCGCAATCGCTGGGCACGACGGAAACGTTTGGGCCAAATCAGATAATTTCGATGTAAGTATTTCATTTTTACGTGTATTTATCACGATTTATTGTCCAAATAAGGATATTTTGATCATATAATAGTATTTTATGAACTTTTGCAAACAAAAGAAAGTAAGGGCTTGGCCAGGTTTCCTTCTCATACTTTTGAATCAATAAAAGCTGCTGCACTGATTGTCTGATTTGAAAATTGAATTTTCTTTACAACTGAACAAATCAAGAAGAGTAGTTTTGTCATATTTAACAAAATTCTGCTATAATTTGTAACACAACTAGCCGGTTCAAAAACAAGATGGCCGACCTGCAAATGCGACGTGTGTGGAATATGAAGTGTTCTTTTTACGCCAGATTTAACTTAAATTCATATTAAATGATATTTTTAAAGATATTTGCTGTTTACTTATCACTAATTAAAAATTGTTACGATTTAAGGTATGTGTTATTGTGATTCAGATCAATTAAAACGAGAAATTTACAACACTCGAAAACGATAATATACGAATTTCTTACATTTTGGTGACAGACTTAATATATATGTGGTATTTTCATATACAATATTGTATGTACGTTGTACGATGGTTAATAAAAACCTCTGATAGACTGGTGAACTAACGGAATCGCTGGAACCAGTTTTGAAGCTCAGATAAATGGCATCTAATAAAACCTGAAGTTGATCACAGTTTTTTACAAAGCAAGCTTGTCATGACCAAATCTAAAGACTCGTATAGATTCACTTTGTATCCTTAGAAGTTTAAGGTCGATCGGTGTTTTGCTACTTTTTGTATTGTGATCCGCCCTTACACTTGACATAATGAAATGTCAAAATCATGAGGGTGCACAAAACAGTCCTTCAACTTGTGAGTATGCTTTGTATTGATCCGTTGTTGCTGGTCATTGAGCTTTGGCTTCAGCCTTAACCTTCGTTATCAGAGTACTGTCTTGTATACTGATTGCAGTTTTAATTATTTTTTTGCTGAGTGCAGAATTCTACAATTGATTCCCTATAAAATGTATCATTTATTATTTTCAAATCATCTATCAAATATATGAATTTATAACTATTCTAGATCTAAGGTACGAAATGAAAACTTTCCAACTTATTTGCAGCAACATCCTTATTATAATCTGTAAATACTGCATTCCATTTTAACTGCAACAGCTGCCTCAAAGAGTTTCCCTATAATCTAAATCATGTCATTAAATGCAGGATCATCTGGATTGGAATAGTGATCATTTTTCTATTTAGTTCTTATCTGAACATACTATCCCCAATAATATAAGAGTTAAGTGTATTGTGATCATTAAAATTTTCCAATATATAACAAAATGTTTATTTCTCTTTGTTTGTATTAGGAACTGGGCCATATTTTTCTTTTGTGATAGATAGGTAGTGGTTCTTTCTATTGTGTTTTACCTTTGAGAAGCTTTGAAACGAGATAATTTGGTAATGATCATAAAAATATGACCACCACCAATATATATTTTTTTTCTGATTAAGTGGTAATAGAAAATTCTGAAAAAATTTGTTACATTAAGCTGGTCAGGTACTCGTAATTTTATCAGGAGTGTTTGATAAAATAAATTCATAAGGAATATATATGTATATGCATCATAAATTAAGAATCACTCAAAGAATGGTGGGTTTTCAGTCAAAAGATGGAAAAAAAGACAAAGAAGTGGCTATTTCATCTATTTATTGAAGATGTTTTGCTCTCTAATCAGAAGGCATATCACAGTTTGTCTAAAAAGAACAATATGAAAAACCACACATCCATAGAAAAGTCATTATAAGTGTTACCTCAAAAAGACATGTGGCAGTCAATGTTATAATATTTAAATACATGAAGAAGCTTAAGACATTAGACATTAAATAGTTATGTTGTATAAACAATTAATTGAAACTAAATACAGTTTACAAATTAAGTCAAACTTAGAACAGCAAAAGACCATGCTTTGTACATGCTTTTTTTATTGTACATGTAATTTAAAAAGTATGTAAAAACAATTATTTGCTGAGAACTAACAAGATCATAAGATCACATTTCCAACAATTAGTTAAATTTAATTTTTACTTTAGGTAACATTAATGAAGTGATTGATTTTGCTATAGTAATATTAAAAAGTGTAATGAAGTTACCACTATTAGCTTCCAAAGCTTGCAAGATGCACCCGACAAATGGGAGCCCATATTAGAAACACCAAGCTATCACGTGAAAAGACAGTGTCCTTTAAATATTATAACATTGACTGCTACATGTATTTTTGAGGTAACACACTTATAATGACTTCTATGGATGTGTGGTTTTTCATATTGTTCTTTTTAGATGAACTGATTAGAGAGTGAAACATCTTCAACAAATAGATAAAGTAGCCACCTTCTTTGTCTTTTTTCTCCACCTTTTGACAGAAAAACCCACCACCCTTTGAGTGATCCTTAATTTATATTGAATAACAGTCATACTCCTTTTTTCGATGTATATGCATCTATATTCCTTGGCGATAGTATGCTTGGCAGACAAAATACTGGGGCATTCTTGCAACTTGCAGTCTGACACTAAAAGTTGTGCTTCTAGCTAGAGACAGTTCTCTGAGAATTGGTTTACATATTACATTGTCCAAGTATTGTATATTTTCTATAGATGATTAGGGCATATTTTCCAATATATTTGGAAACTTAAGACCAGTCTGTGGAACCCATAAAAATCACTTTTAATAAATCACATAACTAACAGCCATACCAGAAAAAACATTGGTGTAAACACTAGTCAAAGTGGGAAGAGGTTAATGCCCCAACATGTTAGTACTTCAATGTATTCCTTTGCTTTTCCACTTATCTTCCAAACAAATATACAATTATAATGTTAATAAATTTATAATCATTGTAAAATTGACAATGTTACTAGCATCTCAAAATTATAGGCCAGATCATATCCTGACCATAAAAATTTGTTCTTGTAAGAGTCTTGAGTGAAATTAAAGCTTATTGATAGATTGTGAACTATTGAATTATGTACTTGCTCCTTGCAGCTAAGATATTTTCAAGAATGCAGCTATCATTAACTTGAAATCTAATGAGATAGGTCACATTTTAAGAATTTGAGTGTCATTTTTGTTTAGTAAAAATTCTCATATTGAACCTGAACTTTGATCAAACACTTGAATATTATCTCTTTGTGATAAGTTCTGTTACTACCTACAAATAGTCTGTTCACCTTTCTTTGTGTTTAGTAATATTATGTTAAACACAGTCTGTGTGTAATCAGCTAATTATAATCACTTTTTTCCTGAATCTGAAATCATTATGAAAAAGCCCAAAAATATTGCACCTTCTTCAACAGATAAGATCATCTGATTCTTAATCTGCCTTATCTCAGTCAATTAATTGATTATAAAATGAAAGTGACTTTTTCACTTCCTTATCAACTGAATACATGTGGGCACATGTCATAAGTATCACATATAAAGTATATGTCAAAATATGTTTCAACCAAATACCTATAAAGCTGAATCTTCTTTCATTTTACTGGCAATTCAAATTAGAGGTTAGACAGCTCAGATCATGAATCATCTTGTGATTCAGATAAATTATAATCAAACATTCTTTTAGTCAATGAATCACCTATTATAGCCTAGAAATTATTATATTTTATTAGCAAACAAGCACTCATACCAAAGGAGAAGAAAGGTGCCATTTTTGTAATGTGAAATGAATATAACACTGTAGCTATATATACCTGCTGTAGAATATTCAATGAAACTTTTTCATTCCAAATTTCACTAAAATAAAATTATACCTACATCAGGAAAAAGAGTCTGGCGACTCAGAAGCTCACTGGAGAGGAGTCTGAATTATATGGATTCATACATGGTTTTTTCAGACAAAACACAAATGATTAACTATAACTTTGGCTGTGGAAACCTAATATTTAATTTCTTCTATTTATAATTAATACTTTATAAAATGGAAAGTAATAGTAGCATTTTCACAAGAAATTGGGCTATCAGATTGATCAAGAAATTGTGTTTAGGTATTATCAGATACCTCTTAGAATATCAGTTAAAAGATCTAGATAAACATATAAAACTGATAAGGAATTGGGGATATTTAATGGCATATACTAGTTCACATACCTACCTAAATGCTTTTTATGATAAAATAATTTTTTTTCTGGAAAACTAAAAAACTGGATTCAACTTAAAATTGCTCATCATCTGCCAGTTTCTATTAATAAACAAGTGAGTCATTAGATGTTTCCAGCTACTGATTTTTAACAGAAAAGATTTAAATTATCCAATTTCATTTTTGCTACTGAAACATAACAAAATGACTAATAACAAGTTTTATTTGTGAGTCATCAAAAGATATTTTACTGGAAACTGTTCAAAATAGCAAAATATGAGAAAGAAGTTTTAATTTTTCAAGTCATCATTCAACATGAAAAAATAACTAAAATTGACATAATTTTATCAATATTTATGTTGTCAATTCTTCTTTTACTTGACTCTAAACTTCTTCCTCTTTATAAGCAGTTCTGTCTATTCATTGGCAAATTAATGCCTCTATTCACTCCATCCTTTGCATAGTCATCTGATACTTTTTTTGCCAATTGGTGACTTCTCTCTTGCTATTTTGATCACATGGGCCTCCTTCATTCTGCTTATGTGGTTATTCCATTCTTTTTTTCTATTTTGTGTCCATTCATTTCTATACTGTATGTTACATTTTCTTCTAATGTATTCACTGGTATGTAAGACTCCAGTGATTTCTCAGTAATTTGCTTTTTTTAATCTAAACTTGTTTCAATATTATCTGTAATATCATCAATTTGACCTCTAGTATTGTTGACACCCTTCTCAAAAATTGTTAAGTCCATTTGAACACTATGAAGAATATCAATGTGGGGCAATATTTCATGGAATACTGTCTCTTCTCAAATTTGAAGCTTCATTTCAAGGCTGAGTTTTTGATGAGGTTTAAAGATGACATTAATGATGCTAATACTATTCCATCC